GGAGATGGAGGTGGGGCTTGAGGTGGGAGGAGGGGATAGGTGGGAGGAAGGACAGGTTAGGGAGGCAGGGACGAGCTGGGCTGGTTTTGGGATGCAGTAGGGGGAGGGGAGATTTTGAAGCTTGTGAAGTCCACATTGATACCATTGGGCTGCAGGGTTCCCAAGCGAAATATGAGATGCTGTTCCTGCAACCTTCGGGTGGCATCGTTGTGGCACTGCAGGAGGCCCAGGACGGACATGTCGTCTGAGGAATAGGAGGGGGAGTTGAAATGGTTCGCGACTGGGAGGTGCAGTTGTTTATTGCGAACCGAGTGTAGGTGTTCTGCAAAGCGGTCCCCGAGCCTCCGCTTGGTTTCCCCGATGTAGAGGAAGCCACACTGGGTACAGCGGATGCAGTATACCACATTGGCAGATGTGCAGGTGAACATCTGCTTGATGTGGAAAGTCTTCTTGGGGCCTGGGATGGGGGTGAGGGAGGAGGTATGGGGGCAGGTGTAGCACTTCCTGCGGTTGCAGGGAAAAGTGCCGGGTGTGGTGGAGCTGGAGGGGAGTGTGGAGCGGACAAGGGAGTCACGGAGAGAGTTGTCCCTCCGGAAAGCAGATAAGGGTGGGGAGGGAAAGGTGGTGGGGTCGGATTGCAGATGGCGGAAGTGTCGGAGGATGATGCGTTGGATCCGGAGGTTGGTGGGGTGGTACGTGAGGACGAGGGGGATTCTTTTTTGGTTCTTATTGCGTGGATGGGGTGTGAGGGATGAGGTGCAGGAGATGTGGGAGACACGGTTGAGGGCGTTCTCGACCACCGAGGGGGGGACGTTACGGTCCTTGAAAAACGAGGACAACTGAGATGTACGGGAGTGGAATGCCTCATCCTGGGAGCAGATGCGGCGGAGGCGAAGGAATTGGGAATAGAGGATATCATTTTTGCAGGAAGGTGGGTGGGAGGAGGAGTATTCTAGGTAGCTGTGGGAGTCGGTGGGCTTGAAATGAATATCGGTTTCTAGGTGGTTGCCCGATATGGAGACAGAGAGGTCCAGGAAGGGGAGAGAGGTGTTAGAGATGGTCCAGGTAAACTTAAGGTTGGGGTGGAAGGTGTTAGTGAAGTGGATGAACTGTTCGAGCTCCTCGTGGGAGCACGAGGCGGCGCCGATACAGTCATCAATGTAACGGAGGACGAGGTGGGGTTTAGGGCCGGTGTAGGTACGGAAGAGGGATTGTTCCACGTAACCTACAAAGAGGCAGGCGTAGCTTGGGCCCATGCGGGTACCCATGGCTACCCCCTTTGTCTGTAGGAAGTGGGAGGAATTGAAAGAGAAGTTGTTGAGTGTGAGGACGAGTTCGGCTGAGCGGATGAGGGTATCAGTGGATGGGGACTGGTCGGGCCTGCGGGACAGGAAGAAGCGGAGGGCCTTGAGGCCATCTGCATGGGGAATGCAGGTGTAGAGGGACTGGATGTCCATGGTAAAGATGAGGTGTTGGGGACCGGGGAATTGGAAGTTCTGGAGGAGGTGGAGGGCGTGGGTGGTGTCACGGACATAGGTAGGGAGTTCCTGGACCAAGGGGGAGAAAATGGAGTCTCGATAGAAGTTGTTTTAATCAATCTTGAGTCCAACAGGCTTTAAAGCATCTAAACAGGAAATGAAGTGTTGTTCCTCCAGGTTGAGTTGAGTTTCGTTGGAAAAACTATACCGGTGATATATCAGGGCAAAAATGCTAGCATGGGAGCAAGGGGGTTTATTGGAATGCCGAGCAACTGGAAGGTCAGAGTCAGTTGTACAGACAGAGCAAGCAGTCACCCAGTCTGTGCTAGATATCACCAATGTAACGGCGATCTCATCGTGAGCAGCAAATACAGTAGACAGATTGAAAGAAGTATAATTAAGGCATTGCTTTGGGGCCTTGGACACTGAGGGGGGAGCAGAGGTGAATGGGCAAGTGTTACACTTTCTGGAATTTCGTGAGAAGGTGCTATAGGAGAGTGAGGAATTGTTCGGAGTGATGGAAGAGTGCACCAGGGTGTCACGGAGGGAACAGTCCCTGTGGAATACTGACAGTGGAGGGGACGGGGAAGATATATTTGGTGGTGGCGTTCAGCTGGAGGTGCCATGAATGGTGGAGAATGATCCTTTGAATGCGGAGACTGGTGGGCAAGGTTCCCTGTAAGCTGCAGGGCTGCACCAAGGCTCTGTGCATGTCAATCAGTGTGCTAACACATTAACTTACAGGTTCTCCAGCTGCCACTTTATAATGGACCTCGGAGATCTGTGCAGCAGCCAAAGAAATTAGAGGGAAAGTAACTGGTGCGGTGGAAAGAGAGGACAAGGAGAACCCTGTGAAGGCTGAGGATGTAGGGCATTTCGGAGGCAGCCCGGTGGAAGGTGGCATCATCAGAACAGACGCAACAGCAACAGAGAAACCAGGAATAGAGTCCTTACAGCAGGCAGGGTGTGAGGAAGTTTGGTTATGGTACCTCTGACAGTCAATAATAGATATTGGTGCACAGCCTATGGAAACAAATGGAAACAGAGAAATCGAGAAAGGGTAGGGAAAAGTCAGAGATGGACCAAGTGACAGTGAGAGAAGGATGGAAATTCTTGGCGAAACTAATGATTTAACTCACATTATCTCCAAATAGAAAGGTTCAAAACCACTCATCCAGTTTGGTGTCTCTCAAATAATCATCTCAAGATTCATGGTGTTCGGCATAATTTTTCCACTAAATGGCATAGCTACCGAGACTTGCTCATTTAAGAGAATTTATTTTACAACAAGCCATCTAAAATTGTTTGTTACTCTAAACAGATGTTAATTTCAACACAACCAAACATCCTACTTGAGGGTTTTACTTTACACCGTCCCTTAAGTCAGCATTTGATCTTCTGGAACCAGTCTAAAGTAATTCTCAGCTCCCAAAGCATTACATCATTCCTTTCCTTTTCCAGCTTGTTGACCTTTAACCCCAGAACTGTCTTACACTTTTCCTGGAGCACTATATAATGTCTCCTTATTTCAAGAAAATTGTAAATGTATTAGAGTACTTCAGAGAAGGTTTATTTGACTAATTCCTGAAATAGAGTGATTGTCTTATGAGAGATGTTTTGATAAGTTAGGCTCGTATCTGCTGGATTTCAGAAATGTAGGAAGTAACTTGATTGAAACATATAAGGTACTGAGGGATTTTAGAAGACTGGATATGGATTGAATGTTTCCTTTTGTGGGAGAATCCAAAACTTGGGGTCACTGTTTAAAGATAAAGGGTTATCCGTTTAAGAAAATTAGGAGAAACTTTTACTCTAAGATGAATCTTTAGAACTCTTCCTCAAAAGGTTGTGGAGCAGAGTCTTTGATTATTTTTAAAGCAGAATTAGTTAAATTCTTACAAACTGGGGAGTGGGGGTGGTGTGAAACGTTATGAGGGTAGGCAGGAATGTGGTGCAGTCAGATCAGATCTTATTGACTGGTAAGGCAGGCTGAAGGAACAGAGTAGTTTATTCCTATGTACAGAAGTAATTAAATTTCACAAACAATTTACTTTGTTCTCATGGTGGATTTGCAATTTTAACATAAGATCCAAGCATTTTATGTATTCTTCTACTCTTCCTCCAAAATAATAATTCCTTCTTTCTCTCATCATTTAGCACAGTATATTTGTAGTTCTTGTTGAAAGATCTCTGACAGCTGATTTTCACTGTCAAGAAACAAATTGGATTTTGGACTGAAATTCTGGGGAGGGGAGAGGATTGTGAAGGAAAGATGGTGGTGAGCTGATGGACCTAAAAGAATGTCATGCTGTTGCCGTTGCCTAATTGTGTGCTTTCCACCTCTCATTGGGAAGGAGATTTCACCCTCTGGAGCTGTTCTGCATTACCCTCAACAACTCTTTCCATTGCCACTTTAAAAAAACTCCAGCCTGTTAAGCACAGTTTTCCTTTAGGAAATCCACATTGGCTTTCCTTAATTAACTCACGCTTGTCCATAAGACAACTAATTTTGTCCCGAATTCTTGTTTCTAGAAGTTTCTCCATCACTGGAGTTAAACTGACTGGCATGGGGTTGCTGAGCTTATCTTGACAACATGTTTTGGACTTGTTCTTCCTCTGTATCTTCATATTCATTATATAACCTTCGCATTAGCTCCTCCCTTTCCCATCACCTCGTCGGTCTCATCAAAAGTCAGAACTTTGCTTTTTGAATGACCTACTCGAACATTACATCTCACCATATCTTGTTCCACTTGCAAAAATAATGAAAGAACTGCGGAGGCTGTATAAATCAGAAACAAAAAGCAGAAGTTGCTGAAAAAGCTCAGCAGGTCTGGCAGCATCTGTGAAGAGAAAGCGGAGTTAATGTTTCAGGTCTGGTAACCCTTCCTCAGAGTTCTGAAAAAGGGTTACCAGACCTGAAATGTTAACTCTGATTTCTCTTCACAGAGGCTGCCAGACCTGCTGAGCTTTTCCAGCAAGTTCTGTTTTTGTTCCTTCACTCAGCTCATTCTCGACTCTCCACTGACTTGTCCATCTCTCATCTCTTGCCCCATATTGTAAAGAAAAATAGGTGCACTCGCATTCGACATATTTTTCCCTACCTTTTACTTGACAAGTTCTCTCCCTATCTGTTTTCCACAATGATATCTTTATGCCTTCAAAGTTCAATTCGCTTATATTGTAAACAAAACAAATTTGAGCGTGAACAGTCCAGTGGTTGAGCCTGGAACCTGGAACCTTCCCAGTCTAGGGTTCAGGTACAATCAGCAGAAACACAGAAAGCGGGAAAAACAAAATTTCTTAACAAAGTGCAGAAAGGCCAAAAACAAGGACAGGGTAGGGGAATATAGTTAAATGAATCATACTGAATCATGACCTAAATACATGTAAGGTAAGTTTTTTCTTAGAATTACAGAAGTTGGGTCAGAGACTTCAAAATAGCTGGGATATTACACATACAAACAATGAGTTTTGTTCTGACTTGGTACTCCAATTTCCTTTTAATATGTTTTTTTCCAGCTTGGAGATGAGATTGTTCGGATAAATGGTCACTCAATAGTATCTTGCACCCATGAGGAAGTGATAAACCTAATCCGCACTAAAAAGACTGTCTCTCTGAAAGTCAGACGTAAGTGTGTAAGCGTTTATAATCAAGCTAAAACAGTTACTATGGAGAATAAAATCAGGTCTCGTATTGTTTATGCAATATGAGATTGCTAATCAAAATTTAAAAATCAGAGTTTTCAATTATAAATCCTCGCAAAGCTGTTAAATTCATTGTGCATATTTTGTTAAAATAATGTTTTTTAATTTGGTAGGTCATTTTTGAGGAAAGATTATGCCAATCTTCCTTATTGCCACTGAAGAATATTTTGAAACTGCTGCAATGTGGGCAAACACACATACTTAGATGTGTATTCAATTATTTTTTGCGTGTGTTCTTGTATGGTTGTTGAGTGGAAGCAATACATTTTCTCTCAGAACTTATGAGCAATTATTTTGGAAAAACTGTGTGTCCTGTAGTTCTAATGAAACTCATTCAATTATTGTATAGATGCTGGAATAGCACCTAATTCTAATAGCATTTTCCTCCTTTCTGTTGCGGTAATATAAAACCAAAGGACAGGGAAAACATATACACTAAAACATGTCTTTTGGTTTGATCTTTCCATCCATTCTAACATTTCCTTCTGAGTACTTAAAATTCATTACTGGTGACAGTCCAGACACTGTTAATCATGTCTCTGCTTTTTTTTCAGATGTTGGAATGATTCCAGTTAAAAGGTGAGGTGTTTATTTAAAAGACTGTATGTCAGAAATGTCTGAATATCTGTACAGTAGTTAGTTAAATGCACTTACATTGGTTTACTGCACAAAATAGACTCACCAGCAATTTTAGCTTATCCAGTTTAAATGTAACTGCTTGCAAAACATGAAGAATGTAATTCCAGATATATATGCCACCCACAAGAGCAGTTCACTTAGTTTTCTCTCATCACCTGAGCCTTTTGTCGTTGAACTTATTGGCCAAATGGGAAGTTTAATTAACTGTGCTGGAGCTTCTTCCTTTAGGGCATATTGTTGCCAATTTGTACTTGTCAAATGTATTTTTCCTTTTATGATTGATCTTCAAATTATTTCTGTATTGGCTTCCATCAACTGAGAACATTCTGTTATCTGAATCTGAAAGTTATGGTTTAAGTACTTTGATGAATTTGCACATGTTACGTGAGCTGATGCTTCAGCTCATAACAGGCAGTGCTGCTTTTCAAATAAAAGGTCAATTGACCTCTTATCAGCCATCTTAGGTGAGTGATACAAGTTGATGGAAAGCTACCTTGACCAATGTTATTCCATTAATCATCACTAGCAGTTGAGCTTATCTGGTCATTCATTTGCTAATTGCAGGAGATTGCTGTGTGCAACTTTTGTCGGATTTAGATTTATAATTAGACAATCCACAGGAAAAGTCTGCATTTTGTTTTATCATGCAGTGTCCTTTTGAAGACCAACATAAATGGCAAAGTATTCTGAAAGAGAGAAATTGGTTTCCTGATTATCACATTCTTAGTTTCCAGAAATGCCTGTGTAATATTAGGTTACCATGCAGATGAAAGACTCAGAAGCAAAAAGATAAGTAGAAAATGAATGTCTGTGGTGGGATTCCAGCCAGCCTGGTATCAGGCAGCTCATAACATAGAGAATTTGTGTGTTAGTAGAATGTAATGTGAAGTGTGTGACTTTTCAAAGTATTTACAGTTTGGATTTTGAACTAGTATTATGTAGGTTTTGTTTTGTACGTGTAAGAAAGTTTAATGAATTGACTTTCCAGTATTTCTGGACCCATGATTCTGTTTTAACCAGTATGGGAAACAAAATTTCTGAGATGATAATGGGAATTTGTTTGCATTGGGAGAGCTTTGCGAGCGGAGTAGACATTGCACTCAGAAGAATCAGGAATTTTATTTCGCTCAGAGGAAAATCCCATGTCTTGGAAAACTTTTTGTATTCAGCTTGCAGAAGTCCTGGTAGAATCTAGAAGTATGAAACAGTTTCTTCTGAAGAGAGGAGATAGGTTACCTCAGTGTGTATGGACTTTGGCTTGAAAGTTCTAGATCAGAAGTGTTTGGTCAGAACTCTGAAAGTGTTATTCAAAATTGAGAAAGTTGAAGCTCAGTTATGTGGCTAATTAAGAAAGAGGCTACCAAACTAGCAAGACCAGAAGTTGAAAGAAACATTTAAGTCAAATCTAGAGATGTGATAGAGAAGGACATTCTTCTAGTGTTTGAATATTGTAATGTGATAGCGCTGAATAGATGGGATAATATTTACCATGTGTTTTGAAATCTCTTATATTGTGTTTTATGTAAGTAGATTGGTTTATTCTATTTTATCTTCATTTCTTTTGCACAATAAGCTTCTGTTTTATTGTTAAAATCACATTTGCAACACTGTGCAGTTGTATTTCAGTGAAAGACCACCTCATCACGAAGGGAAAAAAAATCTATCAAGCCAGTTTTCAGTCTGAGAATAACATCAGCTGGAATTATAACAATAAGAGACTCTTGCAGAATTTGAATTCACTGGACGAAACAGGGATCTGTATCTTCCTTTTTTAATGATGGGTATATGGTAGTCCTGCACATAAAATTGCTTTAAGGTCAGATTTATTGCATGGAATTTAAAGATAACTTTTAGCAATGTTTAAAGCTTTCTACGATTGGAAGATATAACAGTGGATTGTTTGAAATCTTTGATTAAAGCTGAATTTTAGTCAAATAATTTCATGTGATTAAGACAGGCATGACACAAGTTAGACATGCACCTTCTGTGAGTTTGGATAAGATACAGCTGCAGATGAATGCAAGTCAAGGGTCAAAATGATGACCAGAAATGTGAAAGATCCACATAGTGGATGCTGAGTGGGAAAGCTAAAATTTCACATTTGTATGGAAAGTAATGCAAGTGCTTGTAACTACTTGAAGCATTTTTTTTAATTTTAACAATTTAAAGTGAAACTTGTATTTTTATTTGAAGTATCCTTCACTGGGTAATTTATACTTGGCCTTGGTTGGTTTATTATAATAAGTTTTCAGCTGCCCTGCTTAATGTCATTTTATTTAAACATTATTTATTCTTTCGGGTATGATTTTTTAAATTTAACCTCATCTTTTTTTGTTTAAATATTGTTTTGTGTACATTTTCAGTGTCCGAGTTGTGTGTCACTATCACATGTTTGCATCATGTTTTCTTTAAATGCTGTTGATAAAGGGGGTGGAGAAGAGAGTTGAAAAGATTGTGAGTGTGCCCAGCACAAAGACAAAGTGAGTTCTAATGGTGATAAGGGAGTGATAATGTTGCAAGACAGATGTAAGTGAAGGAGTGAAAAAGGGAAAAAAAAATAGGTCTGCTCTGCTGAAAGCAAAGCCAACCAAGCACAAGGAAATCAGAGCCAGAGGTAAATTGGGGGATAATCAAAATGAAGAACAGAGGTCACACTCAAGTTGTTGAGTCCTGGAGAGTATAAAGTGTCTTAATAGAAAAGAAGGTGCCACTTCTGTAACTTGTATTGGCTTTCATTGAAACATTGTAGCAGGCCCAAGATGGAAATGTTAGCAAGGGAGCAAGATGGTTTATTATAATGGCAAAAAAACTGGAAGGTTGGTATCACAGAGCGCCGGGGTTTCTCAAAGCGGTAATCCAGTCTCCATTTGATCTCACCAACGTAATGGAGTCTACATTGTGAGCAATGGATATAGTTGAATAGATCGAAAGTACAAGTAAAACACTGCTTCTCCTGAAAGGTGTATTTTTGATCTTGGACAGGGAAAAGGGGAAAGAGCGTGTGTTGTGACTTCTGCGATTGCATGGAGAGATAAGGGAGTATTAGAAGTCTTGGAGGAGTGGACCACACTGTTGCAAAGGGAACAGACCCTGTGGGATGCTGACAGTGGACATAGGCTTGTCTGGGTCATAAGAACTATCCATGGCTCCCCACATGCCAAAGGATGTGTATTTCTGCTTGGCTGAGCTACCCTGCCCTACCTTACACTTTTTAAGTTACTTGATTTAATGTACCTTTTTTAATTACTTTAATCTTACTCCTATACTATTGACTAACTCTGGAGATGAGTGAAAAATAGAATTCTTTGCCCTTGCTCACAAATCAAGTCCCTTGCTTGTGACTGTACATTCTTTATTTCCCTGTGCTGGTTTAGAAATGTATGTTTTTCAGAATTACTGAAGATAAAATGCAGTCCAGAATAGCAGGTGTTCAATGATCAATCAGCTCTTCCTCTTTCCTCTAATGTCACACTTTGATCTTGTGACTTAATGACCATCTGACTATTGCTGATAAGAGGTAGGACTTCCATCCCATTGGAGAGGAGGTCCTGCCTCCAAAGGATGCTAAATAAGCAAATGGCCAGCCACTTCCTGGTTTCAGAAGTATCTCCAGGAGTGAGGGACATTACTGGAACTGCACCAACCAGAAGCTATACACCCAGATTGAAATATCAAGGGTGTTGACTGGTAATAGGGAGCATCTGTCTTTGAATGCTTGGTACACCAATGAATCCACACTGGGAAGAGACTGGTTACCTGCTCCAACTGTACGCAGGGATTCACTCAGCTATCCTATCTACTGAGACACCAGTGAACCTTACTGGTGAAAGGCCTTTTAAATGTTCAGACTGCAGGAAGTGCTGTAAAAGGCCTGGGGAATGGATGCACCACCAACGTATTCAAACTGACGAGAGACCATTCAAGTGCCCTTATTATGGGACTGGGTTCAGGCGATCTTCCTACGTCACTGTACACCAGTGGATTCACACAGGGAAGAGGCTGCTCTGAGTGTGTAGGCGGGTTCACTCAGTTAGCTCACCTACTGATGCACCAGCAAGCACATACTTGGGAGAGACCATTTACCTGCACTGACTGAGCGAAGAGATTCACTCAGCTTTCAAACCTACTGAGACACCGGTGGGTTCACCCTGAGTGACTGTTTAAATGCCCAGACTGTAGCGAGTTCTTTAAAAGTTCCAGGGAACTTATCTCCCATCAACATATTCACACTGACGGTCTGTTCAGATGCTGTCACAATGGGACTGTGTTCAGGTGATCATTTGAAGGGTCTTCTGACTTTTCCCCTGTTAAAGGTGCTTTGGACGAAGGCTACAGACTTGCCACAAATGCCATTTTATAGGCACTCCCTGCTTATCAACCCATTCCCAGGAATATGTCAAGCACAGCCCCAACTAATGCAGCAGCAGCATCCTGATTTTACTCGATATCAATTTGGATCTGATGGTACGCTGCTCAGTGACTTGCTTCCATACACTCAATTGCTTCCATTGAGTGTCCTTTCTGTTGTGCTTTGTTTTACTGTCAGTATATCTTTTCAAGACATGCTTGTGATACTGTCACCTTATCATAACATGACCTGAAGGTATAACAATTGCATCCTTCATCTTGGCCTGAGATGACTTGAAGCATAACAAACTACTGGAAGTATGTTGCTCAGTGCTCCCTGATGTAATAAACTGTTAGATTACTAGCACTGACATTCTTTATCTGAGTGGATTTAATGTGTGTATAAAATAGGAAAATGAAATACAAGTTTCAGGGATTCTTCAATACTATAATATCCATACCCAGTTTTTAATGTTACAGGAGATTAGAGAAATATTGCTACATCAGATAAAACACCTTGTTGGAGGCAAGCTCACAACTTATACCAGTGGTGGCTATTTACAAAGGACTCCAATGTTTTTGTGGTAGTTAAACCTGTAAAGAATTACATTGAAGAAAATAAAGCTTAAAAAGATCTCTTAAAAACAGTCTCAACATTAAAATGACTTGTCTGTACTGATATATTAATTGGTTCAGCTATTTTCTTTCTCTAAATTGCCTTAAAAATAAAATTAAAAACCTGTGTAACACCATCTGTGCTTTTTTTTAGCAGAATTTTTACCTACAGGTGGACACATGTCAAAATATGCACACAAACGCTGTACAGCGTTTCTTGATGTCTTTAAAGCACCTGGTACCAAGAGACATTTGGCATACATGTGCAGAAAATCTCATTAGAGGCCAAGCCAGACCCCAGAATAAAAACATGGGTAACCCAGAAGACAGTAAATCCTACAATACAAATGCAAACACATTGAGGTTCAGTCAACCAAAACAGAAAATTTCAGTAGATGACCAAGCTTTCCATATTGTTAATCTCTCACACCATGTCACTGGTATAAGAAAATCAGAAGCTTTAAAAACCAATAATGTCATATGTCTTAAAAAACAGGGTAACAGACTAAAAGCTAAAATCACCATGTGGGCTGGTGTAAACATATTAGCATTATGCATCCAAAAATTTGTGTGCCTCAGCACCCCTCAACATATAATGGATCACCAGTTCCATGCACTGGCAGAATTATACTGCAGTGCCAATAGACAAGCTCAGATCACTTTGAAGCATGATGTGGTATTGGAAGCACATTCCTCTATTTTAACCAAATAGCATAGTGTTAACCTAGACGGCTGTATGCCTGAGGAATGTAATGCTTTTAGATAATAGTTAATTGTAAAATCTGTAAATTTTCAACACCACAATATCCACAACCAGTTTCTTCTATTGTTGGCGATAACATAAGCGCTGCCACATCAGGTAAAACACTTTAAAGGTGGCAAACTTGCGCCATTTTAGTTACATTTTCAAACAGCATTTCTTCCCTCAAAATCTGAAAAGTATGTCAAATCCTAATTATAACATTATGGCAGCCAAAACGATTTTTATCCTCTTGTGTAATCACTTATTTTAGAGCAGTCACATTTGGTTAAGCTTCACATTTTCAGCTGCACCTCCAAATTGCTACTTGTGCAGCGTTCTTCTAATTATTCACGTGACCTGACCTTACAAAGCTGTGCAGTCAGCTCAATGTGAGTGCCTGGCAACCAGCCATTCCTGACAAGTTTTGCTGATACTGTAAAATTTAGATTATGTTATTCATAACATCTGAAATCTGACATTATATCCTTCAGAGTATTCCTTGAGAGTGTTTACAGCTTGTTTTGCAAGTTTTTATTTTTCAACGATTATTACTACCCTTCGTGCCTATGTAACAGTGTAACAAAGAAAATCATAATTGCTGTACACTTGCTCTAGCTTGATGAAGGAATGATCCAACAGTGATTGATTGCAGTAAATGCCAGTTGCATTGAGTATACAGTGCAGGTAAGAAATGAGAAAATCTAAAATTAAGATTATTTTTCAGTAGCTATGTATTTACCAGTCTGATCTTCTACTTCTCTCCTTAATTACTGGTGAATTAACAAGATTTGTGTCATTCAGTTACTGATAATTTGACAGGAGAGCAATGCTTTATGTTCCTAATTCCTGATTTGATAGCACACCAGTGACTTATCCTTTCTGCCACTGACAAGTTGATATGACAGCAGTAATGAAACACACTAGGCAGAGGTGAATAATGTTTCATTCTTTTTCTCTAGTTCTTCTGAGGAATCTTTGAAATGGCAATTTGTGGATCAGTTTGTGTCAGAATCTGGAGTAAGTCATGGAGCCTTTTCAATTGATATTTGTTCCTCTTCATTTTGTCGTCATCTTGGTAATATTTCACTGGGAGCTATTTGAAACTTCATTTCTATTTTCAATTTAAATTAGATCCACTTGTCGGCTGAAATGTTATGGCCTTTCCTGTGGCATGTTCAAAGTGGGAAGGGTCTTTTGTTAAGTGGAATGGTGGTATTCCTGAGCCCTGTCACCTTCCCGCCTCTGCCAGAATTAAGACCAAGCCAGACTTCCTGCACCAATGCCAATTGAAGCCCTAAAGTGCGCAATTCATGACTATTTAAGAGTCTCATCCCAGCGCAGGAGGTATTAAACCAGTGGTGGGTGGGCCCTCTCGACATGTGGCATGTATGACAGGTAAAACAACACATTTTCTGCGCAATCTCGCAAGGGGAGGCAATCCTTCATTCAAAGGCACTCAATGTCTGATCAAATGATACAATCCCTGCCCTTATTGCCAGGCCACACACACACACACACACACACACCCCTCTCCCTGGGAGCTTGACCTGCAGAGCCTCTCCTGCCATGACTTGACTGTGGCCTGGGTCACTCCTCGATTCTGGGCCTTTGGTAGGTGTTGTTCTACAACAGTCATGGCCTTCCCAGTGGTGGTGCTGTTCCAAAGATCTGCAGATCTCTGATTGGCCAGCATCCCACAATAGAGAGGATTTCCACCCTAAGGATTCTTGCTCCAATGCCTAAGTGGCACTTAACACTGGAGAGAGAGGAAATGAGTGTCTCCAGCCAGCAGGCAAAATCCCCAATGCTCCAAAAATACTAGCCTAAAATTAAACCATCTCTGTATTAATGAATGTGAGAAAATTTCTCACAAGTAGGAAGAACTGATGGTAACTTCATTGGCAAAATATAGAAGGCCCTACTTGAAATAATTTAATCACTTTAGAGCAAGTGTTTTTGTATTTAAAGAAGGTGAAGTGAGATAGTCTGTTAAATAACTGATGTGTATTTGGCTTTTTTTAATCACCAGTGTCACAGATTTTTTTCTGTATCAAAGTAACTACCATGGTTTATATTAGAATCATAGAATCCCTACAGTATGGAAACAGGCCCTTCAGCCTAACAAGTCCATGCCACCCCTCCGAAGAGCATCCCCCCCTGAACCATTCCCCTAATTTCCCATGTCTAACCCATCTAACCTAAACATCCCTGGACACTATGGGCAATTTAGCATGACCAATCCACCTACCCTGCACATCTTTGGACTGTGGGAGGGAACCGGAGCACCCGTAGGAAACGTACACAGACACGGGAAGAATGTGCAAACTCCACACAGACAGTCGCCTGAGGGTGGAATGGAACCCGGGTCCCTGGTGCTGTGAGGCAGCAGTACTAACCACTGAGCCACCCGAAAATTTACAATGGGATTTGTAACCTATTAAGTCAGCATGTCACCCTAAGAGTTACAATGCAAAATAATTTTGAAAATAATAGCACTCTCATACATTCATTTTTAATAGGTTATGGGCTCAGACTTGTAGCGATATGGTAGGACAGGCATTCTCTCTGGCACATTAATGACATTAACTGAGAATATGTGCTATGTTTACCTGCCATTAGACTTTTGTTGGGGGGGGAAATCCGCATCACCCACAGTGACCACTTATAAGGTTTTGGAGTAGATTTGTAGCTCGGGTTGTGGGTGTTGAGGTTGGTTGGCTCGCTGAGCTGGTTTGTTGTTTTGCAGACGTTTCATTACCGTGCTTGGTAACATCCTCAGTGCAGCCTCTGATGAAGCGTCGGTGTGTTTTCCTGCCTGGTTTTTAAACTCTGGGGTCCATTGCGATGGATTGCTTCACTTCCGGGTTTCCTCCGTAGTGGAATGTATATGGGGTCGAGTTCAATGTGTTTATTAATAGCCTGCTTCGTGGAGTGCCATGCTTCCAGGAATTCTCGTGCTTATCTCTGCCTAGCCTGTCCCAGGATCTTGGTGTTGTCCCAGTTGAAGTCGTGGTTCTCCTTGTCCATGTGGATTGAGATGAGTGAGTATTGGTCGTGTCTTTTTGTAGCCAGTTGGTGTTCATGTACTCTTGTTGTTAGTTTCCTTCCTGTTTGTCCGATGTAGTGTTTCTCGCAGTCTCTGCAGGGGATCTTGTAGATGACATTGGTCCTGTCCATGGCGGGGAGTAGGTCTTTAGTTCAGGTGAGCACTTGTCGTAGGGTTGATGTGGGTTTGTGTGCCACTTTGATGCCCAGCGGTCGTAGAAGTCTTGTGGTGAGTTCTGACGTGTTCCTGATGTAGGGTAGTGTGATGAGTGTGTTGGGGCATGTAGAATCTTTCTGATGCTGTTCCTAGGCATCTCCTGACCCAGTTCTTTGGATATCCATTATCCTTAAACACTTGGAAGAGGTATTCCTCCTCCTCTTGGCGTAGTACCATGTTGCTGCAGTGTGTTGTTGCCCTTTTAAATAGTGTTCGCACGCAGCTTCGTTTGTGTGTGCTGGGATGGTTACTATTGACTACTATCAACAATGTCCACTTATTTAACATCTTTACTGCAGTGAAAAGAAAGTCTTGCATTTATATAACGTATCTCATGACCTCTAAGTGCTCCTAAGTGCTTTACAGCCAGTGAAGGAATTATAAAATTGATATAATCTAGGAAAATATGCAGATAGGAAAAATAGTTACCACATAATTGTGGAAACATTAGATGAGATGACAGGAAATTTGGTGAAATGATAATTTTGATAGTTTTTTGAAGATGACGACCAAAGTTTGTGAATATGAACAAAAAAGAGAGGTATGCTAGAAAATGTTTACACACAATCAACTATTGGCCAGGAGTTTTAAAGCAACATGCAGGAGGAAGAGGAGATAGCCATAAGGCATTTTATGAAAACAGGTATTTGGGTTATGTCACAATTTCAACTCATATGCAGCCCACACCTTTTAGAGAATTGACCGCTCATGTAATTTTATGAGTATATTGTTTACTTCCTTTTTAAAAAGCATTAATAACATTGTTTGGTTTTATATTGTTATAATGTTTTCAAAAATAAATTGGATTTTTACTGCAAAGCCAGCTTTCATTTTTAACACTATTTTAATTTGAAAAATGCTCATAGAAATTTTCATTATGCACTTGATACTGTAATGGTTTACTATATATCGGAGCTCAGTTCCTCATCAGTTTGATGACTTGTCTAAATACAAACAAAGAATTGAGCAAGTGGTTGTGTACAGAATGCTACTTGCAAAATGGTTTTCTGCATGCTAGTTGCCATTCTATGAGCATCAGGGAACACTGAAGTTGGCAATATAGTGTGTGTTTCAGTTAATTCTTCAGTTTCATGTTATTAATTTTTTTTCTTTACACAAGATCATAAAGATTATAAAGTTTGATAGGAATATGTGCATAGTTTTTTTTATAAAAATGAAAAATAAAATTAACAGAATAATTTAAAATACTGTCATTAATATTGTAGTATGTTAACACTGTCTCCACGTACCCTAAAACAAATACCGCAAAAAATTGAGGAATTCTAACCATGTTTAGAAACTTCTGTCGACTTCAAAAAAAATTTCTTGAACCACTGAACGCTTCTTATTTATATCAATATCACAATGGTAAATCTTGTCAAAGTCTGAAATTCATTGAAAATTCATTCCCAAACTTCTTTTGTAGGATGGAAAGATCAGTTTGGCTGGCTTGGCTTCACTGGGAAGCAAGGAAATCAAGGAAAAAAAGGTCTTTATCAGCCTAGTTGGCACAAAAGGCATGGGATGCAGGTACGTCACTCTGTCAGTTTGTCAGTCAAATATGTAATATTTTCTTATACAGATCACACTTCTCAGTTTTATCAATAATTACTGAAGGCATTTCTTGATTTACTTTGTGGATCTCTTCACTTCGTATTGTCTCTTTCCTTTACTGTAGCATTTCTAGTGGTCCAACTCAGAAACCAGGGATCTTTATCAGCAATGTGAAACCAGGATCTGTATCAGCAGAGGTTGGCCTAGAGGTAAGTGAGTCTGACAAACAGAAACAGCAACTTCTTGTTGCTTCCTTTTCTGGTGATTAGCTGCTATGCTTAATATTATTTTGGCACAGTTTGAAACAACAGAAATGCAAGCTTTTAGGGCTAAAAGTCAACCAGATCACTATCCCATTGTGAATGAAATAATATTTTTATTTTTCCTAACAAATGAGTGGGTTATGGATATGTTAGTAACCCCTGGACAGATCTGTAACAATCACTGGTGTTCAAATGACATGTTTTAGTTAAATAATTGGGTAACTATTCTATAAGGGATTTTGCTTGCAAATAAATGTTGGCTGAAAATGGACAGGATTTATATGTCTGGAATTGTATACATGCTTCAATCTATGTTGACAGCAATTTATAGACAAAGTACCTTTTGCAATGCTATATATTGCCAATATATATCAAGCTTCCAAAAAAAAGTCATGTTGAACTAGAAACATTAGTCCAGATATTCCAAAGGCCAGATAATTGTTGGAGCATCATAGAATGAAGTTGTGAGCAGGAACCAAACAGAATTCCCGACATTTCTGACATTGTGGGAATTACTTGGGAAATTGTCATTTCCAATGGAAATTCTCCTATGTCTGAAACCCTCAGATAAAGCCTGTTTAAAATCAGAGGGTTCCAACTCACAAGTTTAATAGCTAATCAGGAAACATTAGCGGATTAAACACCAACTGTAATTCCTGGTAATTAGTGAACTGCAACCCAGACTCCTTACGCTAGGTGGCTGTACATCAACAATCTACTGTTCCATAAATGTTTTATGACTTCCAGGAAATGCTATTGTCATGCATTTAAGAGTATTTTAACCTGCCACTGAATTATTGTTGTAAAATTTATACAGATTGATGTTTATTTCATCTAGACTCACAGTGGCTAATTTATCACTCAGACATTAATACACACAAATCATGCAAAGCAATTCCTAAGTGTTTAGTCATAACAAAGTACATGAAACAATAAAAAAGGACTGGCACTAGGAATTATAACCAAACAGCTTGGAAAATCTGTTGTTTGTTTTATTTCTCATTTGTATGCTTCCTTTTAACAATGTCATCAAAAAACATGACAGTTTCCATACACTCAACTCTACCACACTACCTCATTCCTCAACGCCTCCACTGTCTGCAAAACTTTTCCAACATCCAATGCAAACTATTTCATATGTTGGAAATCTGAGGGGGAAAAAGGATGAATTTTACCAGAAATTACTGAAGTGTCATTTTGAAGACTTTCATGGAAGGTTTCTCTCACAAGGCCTGGGATTTTTTCCTTTGCTGTCATCCCAAATTATCTCATTAACCCTGCACCACATTGCTTTGGTAGACCGCTTGTCCTATTCTCCTACTTGCCGTAAGCAGAAGTTCTTGCCACTGCTGGGCTATCCCATGATTCCATAATGGCACTGTCATGTTTGAAGTCCAACTGAGCATCTGGCCCAGTGTTGGCAGACGGAATTCCCCTTCACCATGCAGGTAATAGGAGGGCAACTGCAAACAAACACTTATCAAGGCACATAGCTGACACTCCATTGCATGTGAAAGTGCACGGTCTTACATTTATCGCTGTTTAAGCACCTAGCCACGCATTCTACTTGTTCTGACTCACCTCCCATCTTACATTGCTGTTTAAGCCAGTGCTATTCTTTTCACAATGCCAAGTGTAGCCCAGCATCTTTTATTTATTCAAATTGGTCCATCACACACAGGAAAACCTTCAGAGCCTTTACTTTTATTCAGTGACTGCAAGAGCAAAAATAAAGCTGCATTTGCCTCTTGGAACAGAAACTTACTGCTTGTTTTTTGAGCAGTAAGAAATTTACATCCAATAAATGATCACTGCACCCCGTTCTCAGCTACTGGGGCAGGGTCTCTGGCTTGTAGTAGCAGATACTGCTGCAATCTATCATACTGAAGGTGATGTTTTCCTTGCACACTGTCCTTATCCTCCTCCTCAGAAGACTGCTTCCACTCTGAGTTCTTCAGTCTCCATCACATTGCCTTGTTGCCTGAGGTAGTTGTGCAGAGGATAGCATTCTAGAATTATGTGGCACACCTTGTCTGGACTGTCCGTTCAGGTTCCCCTTCCTGACCAATCCAAGCACTGGAATCTCATCTTCACCAGATGTATATTCTGCGCCTGGAGGGCACTGGTTGAAGAATGAGCTGCATTGTACCTACACTCAGCCTCTGTAAGGGCTTTATATAATGGAGTGATCAGACATGGTCGCAGAAAGCAGCCCCTGTCACCCAGTAAAGCATCTTGTCCTTCAAATGAAGCAGGAATAACGTTCTAAGGGATATAGGCATCATGGCAACTCCAAAAGTTCTCGGCGCAGATTTCTAGCATGTGATACAAATAATCAGAGATGACTTGCATATTGATGGAATGAACTTCTTTTCTCTTGATTAACTCAACTGCATTATAATATGGCCCTCTCAATGTGATTTGTACATAGTCCTGTTCCTGGGTGAAGACAGTTGTGTTGGCAAAGCTTACTGCCTAGGCACTGACTCTGCCACAAGATAACAAGCTGAAGTGGTGTGATCCATCACGAATTGATCAATAACAGTCTTAATCTATTTGCAGGTTGAGGATTGAGAGATCCCACAGAGGTCCCATACAAGACATTGCAGAAGTAGGCCATTCAGCTTCTGAGTCTGTTCCATGATTCAGTGAGATCTGATAATCTTCGACTCCACTTTCCTGCCTTTTCTTCATAACTCTTGATTCCCTGACCGATAAAATATATGTCGTTCTCAGCATTGAGTATACTTAATGGCCCAGCCTCTACAGCCCTGTATGATCGAGGTTACAGATTCACTACCCTCCAAGGAATGAAATTCTACCACAGTTATGTTAATTAGCAACCCCTTGCTTTGATATTATGCCCCCTGGTTCTACACTCATCCAGTAAGGGAAACAAACTCATAGTATCTGCAATATATCTACTTCTATGTTTCATTAAGGTCTCCTCTCATTCTTCTAAATTCCAATGTGTTCAAGCTCTAAGTAGTCAACCTCTCCCATAAAACAATCCTTCCATAGCTGGAATCAACTTAATGAACCTTGTCTGGACGGCATCCAATATTCCAGTATTCCAGGTGCGGCATAACTAATGTCTTGTATACTTTTAGTAGGACTTCCCTATTTTTATACTCCATTTCCTGTGAAATAAAGATCCCCCAGTTGTTCCTTGGAAGTAATCCAGTCGTGTAAAAGTTCAGCGGGGATGTTACCTTGTTGACCAAACGGATCAGATAGCTTTCCACTCCTACATGTCATAGGTCACACTCCAGAACCTAACATTGTTCTGTGTCAGTGTCCTGGGACATTTTCAGCCTGGTTGAAATGACATTGAGGATGAAGGTTTCTGGCCCTCTTGTATCTCCTTTGCATTCTGAGGGTGCCTTCAACTATCTCCTGTTCATGTGGAGGTTGTTCAGCAGCTGCTGGTCCTGGGCTTACTAATGCATCTGTTATTCCTTAATTTCTCTGCACTGTCATTGATCGCAGTGTCAATGATAATCACATCTGCTGTGGGTAAACCCAACAGTCATGCTTTAAATGAAGCTGTGAGGGTACATAACAAATAGAACAGGCTCTTAATAATGTGAGCATACTCCTCAGAACAATGGGTCAATGCAGATTTGAGAAATAGAAAATTGTGTTTATTGGGTATAACAATGCCCTTATCTCCATTTGGTTTCAGCCCTACTGCTTGCTATGGCTTTATCAATGATCGCCTAATATTGGTGATTACTAACTCATCCATCTACCTAAGGACGTGCATCCCTACCTAATTCAAGCTGGCAGTTTCTGTTCCCTCCAGTTCTTTGCTAACTTTTCTTGCAAAAGTAGTGAGTGTGTTGCAATCTGTTTGATGTAACGTCATTGTTGAATAGCTGGCAGTGTATACAAGCTGTGAGATGTGGGTATGAGGATTACAGCAGTGCTACGCCTGTGAAGGTCTGGTGAACCATATGAATCTTGATTTATTGTAGTTGCTGTGCCACCTACGTCAGAACAAATAGATACAGATTTATTTCACATTGTGTTCCCCGTGGACTATTGAGCTTAGTCTCAGCTTGTTTTGAATCTAATATTCTTGGAGTTTAATCATGATTTGAATGTCATATTCCTGTTGAAAACCAAATTATTTAAAAAATGTAGCTTAATAAGATCTTGTGGAAAAGAATATTAAAGTGTATTGCTGCGTAGCAAGAAAAAGAAATTAGACCAGGCTGCTTATGCAAACAAATCGGTCTAACTTGTCTGTTGCTATGTTGTAACATTTGTGAAACACAAATAAATGTCTTGCAATTTGTATTAACTCCTAAATCAATCTATATGTTATAACCTTGTCATCTGTTCTTCATTGCTTGAAATCCTCTTCATACCTTGACATGTCTCAAGAGATTTGAGAATTGTTAATGCATTTGTGACTTATGAGGTTGCTGTGTAATTATGTTGTGAGTCTGATTGATTCATGCAGAGACGCTGAATGTGGAATGTCATTAGGAACATAACTCAATGAAGTGAAAAAGGACATCTTATCATGTTTGAACGTAGATTACCAAGCTACACTCATATATCACACTTTTTTTGTTTTAAATGCAGGTTGGAGATCAAATTATCGAAGTAGATGGAGTAGATTTTACAAATGTGGATCATAGAGAGGTAAAAAAAGTGCTTCAGCCTTTTCCCCAAAAACAAAGTTGTTTGTGTTTTTATCTCCATTCCCAGTAATGACAGCATTTCAGACTTGTTAAATTAATTCATAAGGGGGACAATTTTAAATTCGTCACTCTGTCAGGAAACTGATGGCATTGAATGGAAAATTTGGTTTTATATCCTGCTCAATTATACTTTCCATAAAGTTAGTGGAAATTAATATTTGGAAAGTATGAAAGCTGGCATTTCATTTGGGCTTATATGCTACCCAACCAGAGAGCTAGGCTAAAGTTATGCCCCTATATATATCCATTTTCACTAGAGAAAGATTCTATAACACCATTACAAAAGAAGCTGAATAAGTTGAGGCAAAGGACTTATTGGATTTAACATAGTGAATTTTAAAAAAAGCGTTGAGATAATAATGTTGCTTAAGATGGTTTCCACCCAAAGTATTAAATCTGTGGTGAAACTAAATATTTTCATCATCATCTATTAAAATTTTAGACTTGGGAAGGTTAGCTTTCGTTAGAAATAAAAACAAATGTTACTCCATCATTTAGGAAATGATGAAACTACATCTTTAATGAGAAACAGAAATTAATGGAATGTGTCATCAAACAATAAATTAAATTTCAATACTACACGGAATATCTATAGTTAACAGATTACACGGTTATATCAGACAAACCTTCTGCTTTTCCGTTAGACAGTGTTTGCTGATACCAAAACTGCAGGGTAACTGAGCCTGCACAGTTGGAAGCCCGCATCTCTACATCGTTGTGTCATGCGCAACTGTACATGTGCATGTGAACAGAAAAGGCGTAACATTGAAACGGGATTCAGCGGCAGGGAAGACTTCCAGAACCTATTGGGGTTATTAGCTTCTCTGCCCCTAGGGTCCTGAACTCCAACTCTTCCTCCCCCCACCCCAGGTCTCAATCTCCAAAGAAACTGCACGTCAAATAGACACATGATTTGAAATATGTCAACAAATCTCATTCACTAGTGCGTGTCTCCGTAGAGCGTACCGCATAAGCTCCCCAGTGTTAGCAAACACTGCCTTTCTTTTATTTACACAGATAACCATTGTATGTAAAATAATGGTACTTGATCCTATCATTGCAAGTAAGGAAACCCAAGAATTTATCAGCATTTTTAGGGAATTCACTGTAGAGGTTTAATATTTGCAGTACACTTCAATCAAAACATTTGAAAATTACCATCATATAGAGATATTAGATTAATTAGCATTGGTGGAACTGAAATACGACTCCAAATAAATTAAGATGTTAGGATAGGGGAATATTAGTTCAAATTAGTGAACTGCATTAGAAGAGGACACACTGATAACCAAAAGGTTTTATTTCACAAGAATTGATGAGCATGTGTAATTAATTTCTAAACCATTTCAGCAACAGTGGTTGCCTTGATGTAGAGAGTGCAGTCTTCTGAAATTGATGTATTCAAATAAACTGGTCATTCACTTGTTTATATTGATCAGACAGTATCATAAAGTCACTAGCATAATACAGATCGATGGTTCAGAGTAGGTCTCAAGTCAAATTGAAAACTACAACTCGTAACATTCACTTAACAACAACATGATATAAAAATAATAAAGAACAGCTGTACCTAAAGGAAACGTTGCCACCAGTGCAGGAAATATGCTTCCTTAGTAGGACGCAACAGAACAATGTTGTTACTCTGCCATTACAGGTAAATTCAGAACTTTAATGACAATCTGACAGAAATATGATAACCACAGAAAAACAAGGGAACCCAGCTAGAACCTCTATTTTTGAAGATGATGAGCACAAATATTTCTCATTTTTCTTCAAGCTTCAAAAATCAGATATGAATAATCAATTTCTTGGGAAGTTTCCTGCTCTATCTTCACATCTGATATGTGGCTTATATTTCAGTCACTTTTAAATATGTGAAGAAAGTGTGTGTGTGTGTTTGTGTGTATGCCAATTGAGTGTTGTCACCTTGTGACAAAAATGAGGAGGCTTGGATTGAAATTCTTCCTAAATTTCTGTCGTTTTACAGGCTGTCCAAGTGCTGAAAAGCAGTAGAAGCCTGACAATTGTTGTGCTCACTGGCGCAGTAAGTATTGAACATGTTTAAAACAACAATATGAAAACTGATGGTTTTAACAGGCTATTCGAGGATTGTATGAAAGAAACTACTGCAACTTTGTGAAAAAGTATAGATTGTTGTATACAAAGTTTCACACAGTTTTACCACAGTTTTTCAGAATTTTTAACCGGGGAGAAAGTGGTAGAACAAGTTGCAGTGGAGAATATTTGTTTAGGGAAAAAATGAAAAGAATTAAAAGTAAATAATTAATGTTATAAAAATAGGAGGCACTTAAAACTCAGTCTTTACGCCCAAGCTATATCAAGAATAAACCTCCTTCCACCAACCTTGCCTCGTCCTATGATGGTTAGAGCTTCATAATGATCCAACGCTCTGCTTTTGAGGAAATGTCTGCAAAGTTGGTTTAACATTTCAAGTGGACCTCACAGGCTGTATGCAGCCCCTCAGCCCTTTAAACCATGTTTCCCAGTCTGTAACATCCTTGGAGGCGGAGGGGACATTTTTACTTCCATGAGCAAAAGTTAGTCCTAACAAGGATCATGTTGACTAAATCAGAGGATTGAATACACTCTTTAACAATGCATTTACCCAGTAAACAATCCTGTATCCTTAAATTCACTAACTGTAAAGTGTTGTGGGGACAAGATCAAACAAAGACTGGAGTGATTGAAAGGGCATTGCTGTTGTCTTAGAAAAAGCTGCGATGTGTAATAGGTGTAGATATGTGGCCTTACCAGTGCTCCTTATATTTCCATACCACTCTGTAATGACCCACTAAAATCAGATGGTCTGCTGTTGATCTTGCAAAGAATTTGAGATACCTTCTGTTTGAATTACTTCCATTCCAAGTTTTAATAAATTAATTATCATGTTATCTACTTTTTAGATATTTTCAAATGGCTAAGTAACCTAAAATGTTTATTTTTCTTACATGCATTTTCACCTGAGTGGTATCTTGTGTTATGATTCTCCAGCTGGGAGCTTTTTTTTTTAAATGTAGCAATATAATTAATCTCCTACTTCATTACAAATAATGAGTTAAGGCCATGGGTAGTCTTCATGAGAAGCAACATTATTTAACAAGGATGATTAAACTATAATGATGCAGATGTATTTCTGTCACCATCTTAAACTCATTCACTCCACCTTCATTTTTTTACATGACTGTTATAAATTCCTATATCCACATTTATAATGGAAACTGCGTATGTGAAACTGTTGGCATTGGGCATGCATCTTTCTGCAAGTGAAATATGTTAAATGACAGATTCTTAACATATTACTGTTCAAGTTCCCACAGAGTTAACCACCATGAGCTAGAGGATACAGCCTGTTACAGTTATCTCCTGGGGATCTTGGTGCTGCTGTTATCATCTTTTGTGCAGTGAACTGCAGCCATGTAACTCAGTTCTCATGACATGATCATTGTCTCATAATGGTAAACTTGAAAATAAATCTCTACCCAGCCTTTTTTTAGATGATATAAACAATTAAATTAAATAATAAATAGAGTATATAATTGGTATTTTTGAGTGAAATTCTTTTAATATCAAATAGAATAAAACATAAAAACTTCGCTTTAAACTTGAGAAAAGATTACAAGGTAACTAATCTAATAAAATCTACATAAATATTTAAATATTATGGAATGTATTATGAACTAAAAATGTAAGATGTGAAAGGAACAGCAGTGATGCAAACTGAGGTATGAGTATAGGTATGGATTAATTCTTAAGCTGGCGACAGGGTCAGACATTGTTTAATTGGTGAAATGAAAAAGAGAGAATGACAGTGGTTAGTGAACATCAGAGATATGATTAGAAAAATTAGTAGCAGTGGAAAAGGAATTTGATAGACAGTAGAATATTAGCCCTCGGGTGGAGCAATTTGTAATTTCAGAAATCACAAAAAATATGAATGGTAAGGTCAGGAAGGCAATATAATCTATTTTATTGTGACCTCTAATGTCTATCGTGTGTAGGTGTGGATCTGATGTTCATTTCAATGGTACAATTGATATCTGATAGTAACAAAAAATAGGCTTCCTCTAACTCAACATTTTCATCTGGTGGTGCAAGGTTTTGGAATCTTATTAATAGCAAGCCAAGTTTGAGAGTTTGTGAATAAAATGAAAGACCCATGAGTGAGTTGGGAACATTCTGAAAGGCAAGTGCCAATTGCTTCCACATGCTTAAATGCTACAATAAGTTCCAGTATTTTTAACTGTGCTTTAATATGCACTGGTTCATCATGGAGACAAACCCATTAAATTGACCAGCGTTTTGTTATTGTCCACGTGCACTACAGTACTTTTCCAATGTAGGAAGTACCATAATCCAGTGAAAAATGTTACAAAATGTCATGTCACCATGTGCTGTCATCATTTCTACTGTGACTTAAATTGGTTGCTACAAATGAAACTGCTTTTGAAACTTGAAAAAAGTACACATTTGCAAAAGTTCTATGCTTGAAAGGAAATATCTAACCACCTGCTCCCATCTATTGATCGACAGGCCCTCTGCTTTGAAATTTACATGAACACCTTGTGTTCTTTCCTTCTTTGAAAATGCTTTATTTTGGAGTGCTGTAATATTATGAAAATAGTGCACCTGCACTCCTCCTGCACTGGTTCACAAGTTGCACTGCAAACCCAAAACCTGCAGGAAAAGACAAAAATCCCACACAATTCTGCACAAGAGTCAGGAGGGCAGTCTGTGAGTCACAAAATGGCCCAGCTCTCCAGGCACACTTCGAAGACAAGATCCAGAGAAGGAAGGGATATGCCAAGCATGTGGCAAAGTGGAATTGAGATAGCCATGATCATGTTTATTTTGGTAGTTCAAACTTGAAGGACTTCTATTTCTTATGATCTTGAGTTTTGCAACAAATCCATTGCACATAATATTATTATTGCCAATCCAAGTTTTGCTGTTTTAGTAAATATCTCAAAGTAATTTATCCACTTTATAAAATGGTACCTTTAACATACTTCTGTGTTGTATGTTGCTGTAATGTAGATCCAGGCTTGGCAGCAAAGTAAAAAGAATAAATGTATTGTATTACATTTTTAAATATATTTTAAAAATTCAAAAGCAATGTGGTTCACTTCTCAAATATCTGTCAACCTGGTTGTGATTTACAAGTATGGGAGGGCTGGAGCAGAAAGAGAGGGAATTTCAGACTCTCAGCTACCAAGCATCTCCATTGCAGTGAGTCCTGTCCAGAAATAGTAACAAGATGACAGCAAGTCGGACAGGAACATCAGTAGAATGCCAGCAGCCTTGGCAGGCAAAGTGAGCAAACCTGAGAATGGTGAAGAAGGCAGTAAGAGAACTCTAAAATAAAGAAAGGGATTTTTGGACAGAATCAAAATTTAATACAAAGAAGCATGAAATATTCTCTCCAAAATGTGAGACAATATAAATAAGCTGGTACAGTTTGTGGAGCAGAGATACCTAACAGTCCACAAACACAATCTTTGATGTCTGGTCAAGTTAGCAAGTTAAAAAGCACACGGGACCTTAAAGATGATAAATAGAAACGTAGAGTATGGAAACGAGGACATTATGTTAAACCTTTAAAACTCACTAGTCAGGAATATTGTGTCCAATTCCAGGTACCACACTTCAGGAAAAATGTAATTAAAAAAGAAACTTGGGCTAATCAGCACCCTCTTCTCATACCATACAAGTTGGTGTCCTTTTCTTTTTCAAGTCTGTTTTCTGTATAGTGATGGGTGTAAATCAAAAACCTTTAACCTCTCATTTCTGATTAGCAGTGTTTAAGTTCTAGACTTCAGTTATATGGAGACACTAAAGAATCTGGGATTGTTTTCAGTAGAGCAGAGAAAATAGTGTTTAAAATTTTGAAAGGTTTTCACAGATTAGATAGAGAGAAACTGTTTTTAGCGGCAGAAAGCTTGGTAACTATGCACACATTTGAAAAAATTAGTAACAAGCCATATAGAGATAAAGAATGATGTTTAGCAAGTTATGATTTGAAATCACCTACCTGAAAACGTGAGAAAAGCAGACAGAATATTGTACTGACGTTTAAATAGGAATTGGATAGATACCTAAAGAAGAAAAATCATGCAGGAATACAAGGATAGAACAGCAAAGTTGAGCTAATTGAATGATCTTTGCAAGAAGTTCTGTTGCTTCCTTCTGTTCTACCACATTTTTTCGGAAGTAATGTAGTTGAGAAGGCTGCTGTATTTTTGTGTACATAATTATCTGATAATTAGAAAGACCACCTAATCTCTCAAAACTAAATCCTATTAAAGTACCAAATGCAAAGCAGGAATTATGAAACATGAAAATCAGACCTGTGGTGCCACAGGAAGCAAGCATTATGGCAGCCAGATGTCTTTGAGGCAGTACACACTGTGCTGCCAGTGGCTTCCATTGCTCACTGTGCAGTGTACTATGTGTGGAAGGTGAATTGCAAAGTCATCTGCTTTGAATGCAAGAAGCATCTGACATGATGCTATCAATGTTTTATTAGAGGGTAACAGTTTGAAAGGCTTAATTCTGAGGAGTGCCTTAAACACTACCCACTGCAACGATGTCATTCTGACTCAGTAATATTATTCAGATGACTGACTGAATGAATGAATGATTTATTGTCACATGTATTTTACAATAAAGCTTTCATTTGTTGCCATAATCCAGCACTGTTTTGATGTTTAAAAATAAGAGAAAATTAAAAGGTATAGATTACAGAGAAGTCCAGCTGCTTATGAATTCAGAGTCAGCCCAGAACCACTACGACCTCACCAGACCCAGCTAACATCAAAGTCACTGGTTGTCAGGCACCACCTTTCAAACCTGGCTGCTCCTTATTGTCTCTGTAATAGTCTACATTATCAATCTAACTTGCATCCTAGTTGCTATCCTGCAAAATAAACATTTTGTTTAAGACACAAAATTTTTTGGTTAGACTATTACGTGTTTTCCTTTAGCATTCTAGACCAATCAGGCCCTCTGATTCCTGCCAGGAAGGAGAATGGTAGCAGCAAGCCTACTGGGCAGCTCATACAACGTAAGGAGCAATGCTGAGGATTCAACTTAGAACAATCATGTCATCATTCAGTCCTGTAGGCGGATATGACTTGCAAATTCCAAATTTAAACCATATCAATCCATTGAATAAATTCACTTTTCACTACTAAAGACACTGTGCCCAGTTGGCAAGAGGGGCCCAGCACTAATTTTATTTGGAGAGCCAGGAAACCAAATGACAGAAGAGATGATTTAGATTAATATTCGGACTTTGGGAGTACTGTAAAGTATTTTTGCAGGAGTGCAACCAGACCAGGATGCATATGTGAGCTCCCCAGATGGCAAGGTCACAGACTAATTCCACTACTTATGACACAGATCAGGACTTGAATGGGATACAGGCAAGTACTGGTGGGAGTGCAGACTGAGATGTTAGCTGCAACACCTGGTCTGGCCTTTGACTCACCACATGCTGATTCCAGCTCTGAGCTTTTTGCAGTGCTAGTGTTTGCAAATTTCTGATCAAGTTTTGAGACCTCTTCTTTAATGCTGGGCTGTTGCTCTCTCCTCTTCCTCCTGGTGCTTTTGTGGTCAAGAAGGCAGTTTCTGGGCATCTGAAAACCACAAGGGAAAGATTGGGTGGAAAAATGCAGTGGGACAAGAGGTCCTTGGTCAACGCATCAGCAACACGGTCATCGTGCTAGACGACAGAATAAAGATTAAATGGAAGTGAAGATCAGGGGCACAAGGCGGTAATATACTGACAATGTTCTCAAAAATGCTGGATACCAAAGCCATTATGGGCTCTATAATGTGCCATCTCTTCTATATTTCAAGAACTGCAGGAGCTGTTGTTGCCCACCAGTTCTGCTCTGCTTCCCTCAATTATGTGCCACGTTTTCTAACAATAGCCAGGGAAGTATCTGTGTGCACTGGTTAAGTGATATGACTGCCATGGTTGAATAGTTGGAGGAATTCTGACCAGCGAGAAGTGGTATGAGCATTGATAAGTGTGTGAGGGTGAGGAATATCTTGCTGTTAAGTCCTCAGTGTTACCTACTGCTAATGGATGAGTGAAGGCGCTGCAATGCATTTAGCAGCATGACAGCTAGAGAATGGTGGGTAGAAGATGTCGTGTGGCGATACATTTGCTGACCTTGACCGCTTGGTCTTCATTTTAGTTTTGTTTTGTCACAGCTTCCAGATTCTCAGGCAACCACCTAGGAATTTACTTAACCTTTTACCCTCATCTGAGTTGATCCTTGAGGGCCACCTACCCCATGTTTACAATGAAATTAATTGTAATCAGCTATCTTTAATAATTGAGTGCAGCTTTCCTTACATTGCCTTTAAGAATAGCATGTTGTTGCTATGACCACATGCTGTTGCAATCTCTGCTGAGTTCTACAATGACCAGCAGAAAGGGAGACACAGCTCGATGGTACAATCGGGTAAATGAGGAAGTAACATCAAACTCATGTTCTATCTTCACATCAGTAGACACAATAGGTTGCTCATTACAACCCCTCATTCAAATAAAAACATCAGGATTTTTGTGGTGCAGAGTAAGGTCGCTCCCTTTGGGCCAGGAGATCCCGGTTCAAGTCCCACTTGCATCAGATGTGTGTTGTTACATTTCTGACCAAGTTGATTAAAACTTTCTAAAGAAAACATACAGAGCAATTTTTAGCCCATCTGTTTGGAACAAGTTTGATTTGCTTTGCATTTCTATTGTTACTATTGTTTACTTGAATAAGTGCATCTGTGGGGGAAGGATTAAAAATAGCCATAGAGGTGTAGTAGTCTGTCTCTTCTGAAGTCAAGTTTACATCCATTTGGTTATTGTTCTGGAGGTAAGCACAATGAGTGGAACGATCTCAGAATTTATTTAGGTTCGAACAAAGATATGGGCAGAAAAGCCATATGTAAAAGTGAAGGCCTTTCTGGTTTTTCAGGAAGTGAATGCATGTATCATCAGTATCTTTGTTGTTCTTGTACTTTCAATTCAGGGGAAAGAGCTATTCCAGACAGAACAAGAACGAATGAATGAACATTATCGACGTGAGCAAGAGCGTCAGGAATTGATGCATCAGAAAAAGATAGCATTGGAAACCAATAAGATTGTGAAAGAACAACAAGAGAAGGAGAGGCTGTGAGTGGTACTTTTTTCACATTTTATTTTCTAGCGTATGACGAAACCAAAGTCAGGTTATACCTTTTACAAACTGGCCACAGTTAGGCATCAGCCCCCGGGGATATGCCTTGCTGAAAGAACTGTTTAAAAATCTGAATAAGATAATGTCAACATTTATCTTATAATTAGTCACTTTTTCCTTTAAGGTCTGTCATAAAAGTAATTCAGCTTCTAATAATATTGAGAGATTCTAACATCTTGACTGACTGCCAACTGAACTAAGACGGATTATTTAAAGTGACTGATCACTTATATTTCCTTTTACATGTAAGCGGTTCTGTTAAGTAATTATTTGCTATTAAAATAGATAACTCCATTCTTTATTAATGGAGCTATTAATGGCCTTGATTATTTATATTGTCATGGAGAAAATAAAGAGAAAATAATAAAATGTCAAATAACTTTAAAACCTCAGAAAGTCCTATATTACTACAGCCAATTAGGTACCTACGTATGTCATTCAATGTTGCTCCACATGCCCTGCACCACAATAATGACTAGATAATCCTTTTCAATGATGTTGATTGAAGGATAAATACTGGCCAGAATATAAGGAGGTTTTCTTTTCTTTTTGGCAATTAAACTCAATAGTATATTTTACATCCTTTTGAGAGGGCAAATGTCATCTCAGTTTTTTATCCCAGAAACAACTCCTGCAAAATTCAAGTACAACTCCCATCTGTGCACATTGAGTTTTACAGCATTATGTTTTAAGCCTGAGTCTTCACTCCTGGTTCACGAGCGCAGAGTCTGCATGTATCCCTGCTCCGCAAATTCAACAAGAGAAAACATAGCCCAAAAAATTGCATTTTAATTCCAGGCTTGTCTGGGAGTCAGACTGAATGACCCCAGATCAAATATTGTGACAGTAGATATGGAGGTGGACTGCATGGAAGGCCTTGATGCATAGACACAGTGTTGCAGTTACGGAAAAATGACTAATACAGAAGGAAGCCCTCCAGCACACACCGCTCACATACCTCAATCCTCTTGTCCCATCCATATCAACCTATACGATCCCTTGACCCCCACCCATTCCTATTGCTCTTCATTCCTCCATTCCAACTTATATATGTCTACCCCATGGCCACCTATTGCCTGTATGGCAATCCTTGGCTGCTGACACCCATCCCTTTGGCACCTTATCACTCCTAAGAACTTAATCTCATTTGAAAATGAATGTTTCTATTTTATATCCACATAGACCTGTCAAGCAAACTGTTCACTTGACAGGCATTGCATAAAAATAGTTTTGAAGCCCAACACAGCTAAATCCATTGACATCTTTGACAGTTTCTATGGGTTTTGACAGTTCTTGGACACCTTGATCATTCGTGCACAGCTTTGACATTTCGACCTTATGTCCTCAAAAGGGTACTGCAGCTATCCAATTAATCCACAATGAAGAGAATTATTCCTACCAGGTCTAGACCACACACTTTGGGTTTCAGACAATTACCTCATCAAAATTGCCTGCATTGAGACAGCTACTGGTTTGCAAGGGCATATGCTCACAGGATCCAAGGATGTGCAATTTGGAATCTGCTGTTGTTCACCCTTACTAACCCCCTCCCTGCAAAAATGGCAGAGGCTGGGTTTGAGGCTGAGATTCTCAAAATTAGACTTCTACCAGCATCTTCGCAAAGATTGGCAGTCTCTCCATCTGTGTGAAAATTTAGGGCACTCGCCTCAGGATTGGAAGTTAATCCCATAACCTGTTTATTTAGAGGTGTGAGTGCTCCTTTCTCTTAAATTTTAAATTTTAACCAGTTCATTGCCTTATTTAATGTGATATCAAGAGTTCAGGCAAACTGGGTGAAATACAATTCCAAACTCAGATTAAGTTGCAACAGTGGTGTTTTAATGCTGCATGCATAAATCTATATTCAGGAATGTTAGAAATCACTAATTCATAAAGCCTTCAGAACATTATTCCCTTATGTACTATGATAACTTGAACTTAAAATAGTAGAGTCTATGTAATACTATAGAATAAAATGTAAAATAATTCTTAATGATCCAAATAAGGACAGTTATTTTATTGTTACTGCACACAGAACCTGGGTAGTTGTTAGTAGTATGTTAAATTCATGAAATAATCATACGTAATTTAGTTAATTAGTTATATAGAACAGATCATATAGATTTTAGGTTTTTATTAATGTTGCAATTCTGAATCCCTTGGCAAATCAGACATGAAAAAGATCATGTGGTTTTGTTTGTCACCTTGGAAAGATCAATTCTAATTTTGTTTTTAGAATCGCCATCTGTTTATGTGTTAAATTAAAGTGATATCTTTTGAATGTAGGCATGGAATTAGGTGCTGAAGCATCACATTTCCAACTTCGTACCAATGTAGGTTGTTGATCAATTCATCAGTTTTTTCTCATTGCATTTTTCTGTTTCACTCCAACTAGATTCTGCAAATAATATTGCATAAATTAAACTCATTATTAAGGACAAAGTTGTTACGTCTGTCCTTTGTTCCATTTAAATTTTAATATTCCCTCTGAAAGCTGCTGCAATGTCCCCTGATTGAGTTGAAATCTTATTTGCAAAATGCAGGAGTTAGCCAAGGTTGGAGCCATATTTTGTTGTTAGATTAAACTTGAATTAATTTTGTAAACATTTAGCCTAATTAATTAGTGTTCTTTCCTATCCAGTTTCAATTTTTACCTTGTTCAATAAATAAAAACAAAGTGCCTGTTAAGTTGAATCATTGGGTAGGTAGCATGCTGTAACCTTTACCCTGCTGAATATTTCCATGTGATTTAGTATGATATTAGTTGTCACTTTATGTTGATGCTATTGCTCCAACAGTCAGTGCCGCTGTGCCCAAGAAATCAGGATTAATTTTACAAATGATGTTGGATACTCGATCTCAATTGCATCTTCGCATAGAGATCAAGGTAGACATTGTACATCCTGTTATGTTGAAGGGAACATCAAATGGAGTATTAGATCTTTAGCAGTCTGTATAACTCTATTTTGCAAATGGCTTGTGCCTGAGAGGGAGGAAGTGGGGAAAAAGAGGAAATACTTAGAGTATGTATCCTCAAAAGAAGTACGTTGAGAAAGTGTAAATTAACTGAGAAGCTGAGACCAGGACTGAATGAAAATTTCTTTAATCTTTCTTTTAAATATAAAAGAAAATTTGGAAGATTCTGTGGCCAATGAACCTGGAATGATATCATGACTGATTTTCTGTTACCAACTTAGTGGTTTGGACAGCTCACTAGCTCAGTGGTTAGCACTGCTGTCTCTGGACACCAAGGCCCCGGGTTTGTTTCCAGCCTTGCACATTCTATTCATGTTTGTAAGGGTTTCCTAAGGATGTTCCAGTTTCCTCCCACAGTCCAAAGATATGCAGGTTGGGTGGATTGGTCATGCTAAATTGTCCCATAGTGTCCAGGGATGTTCAGGCTAAATGTGTTAACCATGGTAAAACCTCCATGTGGGGTTACAGGGATGAGGTGGATCTGGGTAGGATGCTCTTCAGAGAGTTGGTGCAGACTTATTAAGAGAATGGTTTCTATCTGCACTGTAGAGATTATATGATTCTATGAAAATAGAGTTGTATTTATAAACCAATGTTTCATGTTTTTAGAAGGAAATTAGAGATTTCACAGAAAACCGCTGAAGAGCAAGAGAGATATCGCAAGGAAATTGAACAGTAAGTGTTTTGTTTAAGTATTGGGCCATTTTGCTTTATAATAATTTGCAGTCAGCTAGTTTTGAAAATGTAACTTGTGACCTTTTAATTGTTGAACAGACTATAGGTAGGTAAAAACCATTGTAAGGAATTGCAAACCTTGAATAAACTTGACTAATTTGGATGCTCAAACTAATGCCTGGATTTTCCAGACTGATTTTGTATTCCTGTATGATACTGGTCAAGTTTGGTCTTTAGAAGTAATATTTCACTTCTTTCCCTCTTTTCTGTAAACATTTTCCTCTTGTTTCCTGAACACATTGATTTCTTAGTGAAATACAGTTCCACATAACTAGGATGCTTTCCAATGTCTTCCTCAAGAAACCATTCTTCGTTTTGGTATCTAGACAGTTAATGTTAGCAGGCAATGATCCACAAAGAATACTATAACAGAATCGAGTACCCTCATCCAAATATGTGTACTTTCAGTGAGATTCTGTGGCTAATAAACCAGGAATGTTAGCATTACTCATTTTCCCTTACTGACCTAGGGGTTCTGCGATTAAGTGCAGCATCTCAAACCACCAATCCGACTGTAATCAGCACAGATGGTAGATTGAGATGGAGTCTTTCTTGATCTGTATGACCCAGTTACTCACTGCCTTAATTAGTTGAGACATTTGGAAATCTTGTGACAACAATTTGTCTGTCATCTGTTTTAGACGCAAGCGTTGTGATTTGCACGCTGCCTGAAGCAATGTCAGTTTTAGAAATTAGGGTAAAATTTTAGGGTGAAACAGAACAACTAAACAGTAGCTTGAAACCTGATGACGCTCGTTAGACTTTGTGCTAAAATGCTGGGTTCTTGAGGCCCTTGTGGTTCAGTGGTAGCGTTCCTCCCTCTGAACCACGAGTCCCAGGTTCAAGTCCCACCTGCTCCAGACGAGTGTCATAATATTTCTGAACAGATTGGTTTTTAAAAGAAGAGCGGAGTTCTGCCTGCAGTGGCAATTGGCTTCATGACAAGGAAAGGATCCTGAAGTGAAAGGAATAAACTGGTGCTTATGTTTTTAAATCTTTGAACATTTTTTGCTGGCTAATTCAACATATGGATATTGGTCTGTTAAATAAGCAGTTCCATTGGAGATGAACAATCTAAAGCTCCTTTAATAATTAAATAAATCAAGAATTAAAATGATAATCCTGCCCCACCTCGTTGCTGTGTTTGTAGAATAGGGCCAGAGAGTTTTCTTCAATGATGGATTCCTTCTCTCACTACTAGCTGTAGGAAAATGAGTTTGCAATACCCTTGTAACTCATTATAGAGTCACAGAGTCATGCAGTACGGAAACAGACATTTCGTTCCAACTCGTCCACACCGACCAAGTTTCCCCAAACTAAACTGATTCCACTTGCCTGTGTTTGGTCCATATCCCTCTAAACCTTTCCCATCCAAGTGTCTTTTAGATGTTGTAACAGCACCTACAGCTATCACTTTTTCGGGCAGTTCATTCCACATATGAACCACCCTCTGTGTGAAAAAGTTGCCCCTCAGGCCCCTTTTAAACCTTTCTTCGCTCACCTTGAAAATATGCCCCCTAAGTTTGAGCAGCCTAGCTTTGAATAGCCTACCCTAGGGAAAAGACTTTTGCTGGTCTGTTTATGGATCAATGCCTGATGAGTTAAAACAGCTTGCAGCTGAACAGGTGCATTATAGAACAGCTCTTTGCCAAAGCTGAGAAACTGAAGGAATGTGTGAAAGTTAATCATCCATATCTTGGGACTTGGGAACTGTAGGTCTGGTCAATGTGTTTATAGTAATAGTGATTTGAAGAACTTACCTTAACAATATATCCATGGCAACAGAAAGATTATAAGAGATTGAGAGAAACTAAATACATTTTGCTGGTTCTATAATTTTGATATTTTTGTGACTTCTGATGCATTATTGTTTAGTAGGAGTATGCAGGGAAAGTAAAAATCAAACTAGAATTGTTAGAAGAATTTTGATCAAACTTAAATGGTTAAAAGGAGTTTTTATTTTGTCTGCGTACTGATTTCTGAAGTATGACGTGCCTGAGTATGTGTGTCAATTTATGTAATGGGAGGTTATCATAACTCTGATTCTGTATTCTTATAACTAATATCTGACAAATTGAAGAATAAATTGGTACAAACATCGGCTGTCTGCAGTTAGCAGGCAGCCAATTGGTTTTGTGTTGAAAGCACATTATTCAGTCACTCTATTCTGATGGGGAAGTATAAAACTATGGAGGAACTTGAAACCAAGAATGTGAATTTTAAAATCAAGGCACCGCCAGACTGGGAACTATTTTTTAACAAGTGCATTCATTGGGTGTGGGCGTCACTGGCTGGACCAACATTTATTGCCCTGCCCTAGTCGCCCTCAAGAAGGAGGCCAGAAGCTGCTGCTTTGATTTGCAGCAGTCCATCTGCTTTAGCAATACCCATGATGCTATTAAGGAGGTAGTTCCAGGATTTTGACCCAGTGACACTGGAGGAAATGCAAGATATTTCAAAGTCAGGGTGGTAAGTGACTTTGAGGAATTTGGTGGGATTCCCATGTATGCGCTGCCTTTGTCCTTCTAGATGGTAGTGGCCATGATATTGAAGGTGATGTCCAAAGAGCCTTGGTGAATTTCTGCAGTGCATCTTGTAGATAGTGCACTCTGCTTCTCCTGAGGGGTGGTGGGAGTGAACATTTATAGATGTGGTGCCAGTCCATTTGAATGCTTTATTTTGAATCGTGTCCTGCATTTATCCAGGCAAGTGGTCAGTATTCCATCACACTCCTGAGTTGAGCAACATAGGTGGTGGATTGTCTTTGAGGGGTCAGGAGATGAGTTACCCACTGCAGGAATCCTAGTCTTTAGCCTGCTTTTGTAACCATAGTTACTCGTATGGCTAGTCCAGTTCAGATTCTGTCAGTGGTATTGATATTGATATTAATAGTGGAGGGTTCAGTGTCGGTAATGATATTGAGTGTCAAGGGGTGATGGGTAAAATCTCTCCTGGTGGGGGTGGTCGTTGCTTAACACTACTGTGGCGCAAATGTTTCTGCCACTTGTCAGCCCAAACCTGGTTTTTGTCCAGGTCTTGCTGCATTTGGATGTGGATTGCTTCAGCATCTGAGGAGTTGCAAATGGTGCTGAGCATTGTGCAATCATCAGCAAACATCCCTACTTCCAACTCTTATGATGGAGTGAAGGTCATTGATGAAGCAGCTGAAGATAGCTGGGCCTAGAATTTCTGCAGAGGTGTCCTGAAGCCGAGATGACTGAACTCCAATAATCATAAGCGTTTTCCCATGTGCCAGGTATGACTCTAACCAGTGGAGAGATTTCGTCCTGATTCCCATTGATTCCAGTTTTGCTAGGACTCTCAAATATCACACTTGGTCAAATACAGTCAAGAACAATCACTTTCCCCTTGCCTCTGGAATTCATTTCTTTTGTCGATGTTTGAACTGAGTTGCAATGAAGTTAGGAGCTGAGTAGACCTGGCAAAAGACAAACTGTGTGTTACTGAACAAGTGTTATTGCGAAGTAAGTGCTATTCAATAGCTCTGTTGATGAGCACTTACACCACCTTACTGATGATTGAGAATAGAATGATAGACAGTAATTGGCTGTGTTGGATTTGTCCTGCTTTTTGAGTATAGGACATACATGGGCAATTTTCCATGTTGCCAGGTAGATGGCAGTGTTGTAGCTGAACTGGAATGGCTTGGTGAGAGACGTGGCAAATTCTGGAGCACAATTCTTCAGAACTATTGCCGGAATATTGTCGGGGCCCATAGCCTTTGCACTATTCAGTGTTTCCATCGTTTCTTGATATGATGTGGAGTGAATAGAATTGAAGACTGGTATCTATAACGCTGCAGATCTCTGGAGGAGATCGAATTTGATCATCCACGCAGCACTTCCAGCTGAAGATTGCTGCAAATGCTTCAACCTTATCTTTTGCAATGATGTGCCACACTCCCTCCTCCAGTGGGTTGTTTAATTCTCCACCACCATTGCTGAATTTAGGTTAGCAAACACAGGGAAAATGCAAGAATGGGTCGAGGGATGATTTATCATTTGTGCAGCAAGTTTTTAGATGTTTTTGTGAGAGGTGAAGTAAGGGGAGGCCAACCAGGACAGCAATGTAATTGGTGACTCTACAGTTTAAAAAAGGGAATGGATAAGGGTTTCAGTGACAGACAAACTGAGGCAGGGGTAAAGATAGGCAATGTTACAGAGTTGGAAGATCTTTGCAAAAAAAAGATCTTCCAAGATATTACTGAGGTGTACCCATGCAATCAGCTTCTTTTGTAATAGTGCATTGTCTATTCAACAAAGTAAGCATTTCAGAATCCATACTAATCTGCAATTTTACTATTCATCATCCTAACTACTCACCACAGGTTTTTTCTGGGCAAAGCCTTCACTCATATCAAACAATCCATGGTGTCATTGGAAGAAAGGCAGGGAGTTCTGAATGTTCCTGCCCAGCATTCTTTTCTTAGCTAACATCATCACAAATAAATTTGTGAGATCCTGGGGCATATGGAAATTGGCCGCTGTGTTTCCCCACATAACATCCAAGACGACATCATATAGGTTAAGGAAATAATCCTTTTTTGTGCATAGTTCTATTTATGCAAGTTGTTTTCATTTCAATTTCTACTTTAATTTTTGGGGGTGCAGAAATTACTTTATGTTCTCCTATTATTTTTGATGCACTTATTTCATGCATATACAAGCACAATCTGCATGAAAACGCATATTTGTGAAAGCACGACTGTGCTCCATTGTTCAGTTCCACCTCCATAGTGGCAGATACAGGATGTGTCATTACACATGGAAAAAGCTTCCTTCAAAACCAATTAATATTCTGTTGATTATTACATTCAGAATTTTACTACGTGAAAAAGTGATAATTGAAGATTGTTGGGAGAAGTATAAATACTTATTGTCCGAACACTGGGGAAAACTGAGGCTGCTAGTTTGTTTGCAATTTCCTCGAGAATAACAAGCCAGTTTTGCATAATCTAGATTGCAATATAACACTAACATTCCAGAGTGAACATTCTGGTGCTCTTGGGGGGTCACACTAATTTAAGAAGAATCAAGCTTGCATGTTTAAGAAGCTAAGGAAAAGAATCTGTGAATTAATATTGACATATTAAGTTTGAGTGAAAATGAAACAGCATATCAAGAAGACAGCCATGATATAAAAATACTGCTGTGTAATTTCAGGTCATACCAAGCTGCATTTGATTAGAATTTACAAGCCACTGAAGCAGAGAGCTGTTATTTGTCTGCAGCTTTTTTCACAAATTATTCCACTGCCCTCAGTCTGGTGCAGATGAAGTATCTTGTCTGGAGAGTATTTATTTACACATCTCACCTTATAGCTTAGTATAAAATAACCACAATAAGAACAAGGTTTGAAATGATGGATACGAAATGATAGTATAAAATTAAATTTTTATCTAAAAAGCAGAGCACAAAAGTGAATGTCCAACTTTGACGGTGATGTAAAACCAGCTGATTGATATACACCCGACTAGATCAATAGAAAGGCATTCAGCTGAAGAGTGAGATGGGTAAAGATCTGTTGTAAAGGTCCTTTGAGTGTTTGTTAGTCCACTGATCTGAAGTATCAGGCCAAAGCATATGTGTCAGAAGTGCTGCCTTGTTGATTAAAGCTAATATAAAAGCCCTGTTTTTACACACACCTCCTGTGGAAGCAGATGAAACACTGTTGAAATGGGGGCAAGTCAAGGAGAAGAAAGAGTCAGGAAATTAAGACATCAGTTCAGTCAAGATGTGGAAAATAAATAATTGAAATTCATGAGATGGGCTTGTTTTAAAAAAAAAACCATTGCACAGTTCCTTGTGGGAACAAGGCCTTATCTTCAGTTTCAGGTTCCCATTCATAAAGTGCTCTGACACTCTCATTATGCTAAATGACACAGATGTATCATCTCAAAAGTGAGCATCCAGGAGATGAAGCAACCAAATAGTATTTAACCACAACTTGTAAACTCACGGCCCTGTATGTCTTGCAGTCTCCTATTGCCATCGAGCTAATTTTATCTTCATTCAATGAGGGGTACAAGACAACATGCTGGGCATGCATACTTAAAGTGAAATTTCAAGTTGCCGAAGCTACAACGCAGGATTAAATCTATGCTAAACATTGGAAGAGCACAGATAGAGCTAAACATTTACAACAGATCAAAGCTTTGCAGTCTTGCCACGTGAGTGGTGGTGGACAATTAAACAAATAAATGTAAGAAAAGTTTCCTGAAACATCCCTAATCACAATACTGGAAGAAAGCAGCACATCAGTTCAGAAGACTGAGCTGATTTGTTTATAGCCTTCTTCCCCTAGAATTACTGAGCAGTGACCCGTCTAGGCTTCTTTCTAAGGTCCCCTTCATCACAGAATGCAGGTTTTGAGCCGATTTTTTTTTCCCGCACCATGTGAAACAGCTGAATGAACTGGACACAGCAAAGCTATGGATCTTGGCAACATTCTGTCTGTAGTACTGGAGACTTATGCTCAGATAGAAACATCACATGGAGTTCACAGTAGATAGTAAGGAAATGGCTAATGAAGAACAAATATCTTACTTCTCTACTCACCAGAGAGGATACAAATATTTTGAAGCAATTGTTGCAAATTAGGAGGTGGAAGGGAAAGAAGAACTAGAAGCACTAGGGAAGCAATACTGGGCAAACTGATAGAACTGCCCCCATTTCAGAGAATCCCTACAGTGCAGATAGAGGCCACCATTCAGTCCACCGAGACTACACCGACCCTCTGAGAGCATCCCACTCCTCCATCCCAGTAACCCTGCATATGCCATAGCTAACCCACCTAGCTTGCACACAACAGGGTAATTTAGCAAAGCCAATCCACCTAACCTGTGAATCTTTGGACTGTGGGAGGAAACCAGAGCACCCAGAGGAAACCCATGCAGACACGGGGAGAATGTGCAAACTCCACAGAGACAATTGCCCAACGGTGGGATTGAACCTGGGTCCCTGGTACTGTAAGTCAGCAATGCTGACCACTGAGTTGCTGTGCTGCTGTGCCATTTCCTCATAAACTTCATCCGTAGGCTCTTAAAAGAAGTGTTGATGAGATAGTTGCGTTGATGTTAATTTTTTATAATTTGCTACATTATTGAAAGTCCATTTCAGATTGTAAGGTAGAAAATATAACTCCTCTATTCAAGATGGGAGGCAGATAGGAAACAGGAAACTGTAGAGCAGTTAGCTTGATTTCTGTCATGCGAAGTGTGTTAGAATTGATTGTTAAGGAGGCTCTAGCTGGGCACTTAGAAAAACAGAAAGTAATCAGAAAGAGGCAGCGTAGCTTTGTGAAAAGGAATTTAGTATAAGGAATCATGTGACTTTGGAACTTGCTGTCTCCAGAAATTGGTGGAGATGGGGTCATTGAATATTTTTAAGGTGGAGGTATGTAGATAGATAGAGAAAACAAAAGTTATTGGGGATAAATAGGAATGTGGAATTAGAGATACAAACATTATGATTTATGGAACAGTAGAGTAGCTGTGAGAAGGCAAATAGCCTACCTCGGCTCCAATTTTGTACGTTTGTAAAACTTACCAGATATACCCTGTCCATAAACAGCAAATAAAGCCACTCCAAACAACTGCTGTCCCATCAATCTACTCCTAATATCAACAAAGTGATGGAAGTTGTTGTTAACAATGCTATCAAGTGGCAACTACTCAGCAAGAATCTCCTCATTGATATTTAGTTTGGGTTCCAACAAGACTCCACTCCAGACCTTATTACAGCCTTGGCCTATGCATTGCACTGAAGAGCTGAATCTCAGAGATGAGAGTGGCTTTTCTGGATATCAGGGCAGTGTTTGATCAAGTGTGCCAGTAAAGAAAGCTGTTAGATTTGAAGTCAATAAGTATGGCTCCAACCAACAGAGAGCTTTTACTCTATCTGCCATATAAAAGCAAAGCTATTCACATCATTTTGGTGACACTAAGAAATAACTGTTTTTTTCTGTCTCGAAAAAAATTAAACCACTTTAAAATGATTATTAAAAATAACATTCACCCTTGCTGGCCAAATAAACTAGTGAATTGTTGACCAATACATTGGAAGTAGAAATACCAGTCTTAACTCTATGCATATGTATGGTTTACGAGTCACATGTTTCATACTTTTTCTTTGGTGGAATTCTATCTAACTTGCTTGATTATTGGCAGGTCTGCCGTGTTTTAAATTCCTGTTGATCCAGAAAGAGCACAGGTTCACTTTCTAGTTGGTGCTGTTAGCTCAGGCAGAATGTGTGTGGTTGTCACATTTGACAGGGAATTTGTCAAGTTCACAGCTTGTGATGCAATTTTATTGATCCTTTGTAACAATTGTGTGTGATATACAGGATGCCCAGAACGTGTCAAAACATTTTCCTTGAGCGGACTTGCAGAATGAGAATAGTCCCTTGATACTAGTATTTCAAATCTACCGATATCTGCAATATGGTCTTAGCATGAGTTATGTGCCTTCGGATGACATCTGCAGAAACTTTCAGAGAAAGAAATATTGAAAATAAAATAAAATCAGTCCTGAAGAAGGGTCACTGGGTCCAAAATATCAACTCTGCTTTCTCCCCACAGATGCTGCCAGACCTGCTGAGTTTTTTCAGTAATTTCTGATTTTTGTTTCTGAATTCCAGCATCTACAATTTTTATCTTGCTTTTAGAAATGAATACCTGGATTTCAATTTTAATGTGTATGTTTGACAGTTGGAAACTGGCTTGCTAGTTAATGCATGATTTTAAGTGAGTGGCTTACAAGTTCGCCTCCAAGCCATTCACCATCATGACTTGGAAATATTTCTTTGTCACTGAATCAAAATCCTGGAACTCTTTCCCTAACTGCATTATGGGAATACCAATGCCAATGGACTGCAACTGTTCAAGAAGACAGCTCAGCTCCACTTTCTGAAGGGCAGCTTGGGACAGGCAGTAAATACTGGTCCAATCAGCGATACCCACATACCGTGAATGAATTTTTGAAAATATGTTATTTACATAACTGCAGATATATAGATGAACAAACAAAAAATGAAAAAAATTGCTAGGTACAATCAATTGGCATTCAGAATAGATGTCAACATTCATATTTGATGCCGTTTCTTTTGAATGCTGAATAGTGACTATTAGTAAATAGAAAATAGTAAAGACTAATCAGTCAAATTGCAATTATGCAACCCGTTAATTTCTTAATGAGTTGCACAAGAAATGAACTTACATTCTCTCTTAAAAATCTCTAGGTTAAAGTGCCTTGCTGAGGAAATACAACTCATATTTAAATTATACAAGATGATGTCAGTAATTGGAAAGAGGATTTTTTCAAAACCTTTTTCTAATCACCCTGTTCTGTTATGTGATACGTTAAGCTCAATGTAATTCACCTGAATAACTCTGAAACTGCTTCAATTTAGTAACATTCTTCATTTTCAGGCTATATGTGGACTCTTGTCTAATTGAAAGCAAAGATTTGAGTAACCATTGTATCTTTACAGGATAGAAGCAGAGGAGCAGAAATTTAAAAAGGAATGGGATGAAGACTGGGGACAACGAGAACAGCCTAAAAGTCCAAAATCAGTTAGCACTGATGTTTCCCCTCACCCACCACCGAAGAGTAAAAGTAAGATACTTTACAGCAATATTTTTATTCCAAACTTCAAGATACTATTCATGTTTTGTCAACCACAGAGAGTATATTTCAAGTTGTAAAAGTCACAGCAAGCAATCCAATGACAGCAAGTTATTCTTGTGAGAAAAAGAGCAATAGAATCTATATCTTAGGATGAAGATAAATGTGTTCATGAAACTCACAGGAGAGCTTCACCTGCCTAGTAAACCAATCCTAGGAAATGACAGGACCACAAAAACGCATTGCTCGAATATAGCTTTTATTTTAATTCCAATGGTGCCTAGTTTTTCCGTAGGAGGGAGGAATTTAAATTCCACCTTCTAAATTTGATTAAAAAAAAACCCCATCAACAGACTGCTATGAAGTCCACCAGCCATCCATTACATCTAACTGAATGGCTTGCTGATTTCAGTCCCACAACCTTACTCATCCTTTGCAGTTCATTTTTTGAGAAATTCTGCCTCAAAGCAGAGTAATGGACCACAGATAGTCAAACCCTGGGTTTTAGACTGAGACCATACCCAAAAAAGGGCAAATGGTGGCTTACATTTTCCTTGTGGGATCCAGAGACACTAAAATGAAAATTACCTTTTTTTTGACCTTTTTGTCCCTATTTTTCTTCCTGCAGCGGCAAAGCAGGAAATATTGGATTTTCCCATGAGATGAGCTAATATTGTTGTTACATCTTGATCAAATTCATGAGCGACAAAGGGCCCCATTGTCTTTAGCCTGTGTCTTTATCCTTGTCAAACAAGAACAAAAAATATGGATGAGATTCTCACACCATTTGTTTTGTATCTTTGTATACAATCTTCCAATTGTTGGGGAATCATGGGGAAAATACTGGAAACATTACAGGGCTGTTCATCAAACTGTTTGAACCACATCATCAACCTTCTGCCATGGACAAAACTTTCTGTAGTGGGACTTCAGCATGGACATTCTGGCTCAGAGACAGGACTAGTACAAGGAGTAGACTTTCTAGACTCTCACTGCTAAATTAGTCTCCCTTGCATCTATTTTAACTCCAGTTAATGTACATAATGCAAATCAGCTTCATTTCCTGTGCATCATTGTGATTATCCCGTAATCTAAGCACTGTATTAAAAGTTAGATTTGTTTTAAATGAAGGATCCTTAACATTTACAGAAAATATGATCACTAGTTTGTCAGACATCGGCCCAGCAGTGGCATATTCAAAGGTCTTAATTATGATAGTGAATTAATGAAAGTGGATCAGTAATGCGAATCCAAAGCAGTTTTCTGATTGATGGGGACAGTGATGTCATAGAATAGCTGTGAGGTTTGTTTTTTTTTTACTGTAGATCCACCCCTGGATTTAAATCCATAAATGATAGATTATATAAATAGGTAGAAGGTTTAGCTTTATTACAGGCATAACAGAATAGTAGACTACATCTGTCCTCTGTCCATCACAACCAGTGGTACCTGTTCAAGTTTGTTGCTGTCAAATTATTTTAATGAAGCATTCGCAGCAATCTTCAGCCAGAGTGCCGAGTGGATATTCCATCTCGGCCTCCTCCAGTGGTCCCCAGCATCGCATATACCTATCTTCAGTCAATTCACTTCATTCCATTTGATTTCAAGAAACAGTTGGAGGCTTTGGATACCACAAAGACTGTGGGTCCTGACAACATTCAGGTAATAGTACTGAAGACCTGTGCTCCAGAAATTGCCACTCCCCCAGCCAAGTTGTTCCAGTACAGTTACAATGCTAGCATCTACCCGACAATGTGGAAAATTGCCCAGGTATGTCCTGTACACAAAAAGCAGGACAAATCCAACCCATCCAATTACCGCCCCATCAGTCGACTCTCGATCATCGGTAAAGTGTTGGCAGGTGTCATCAACAGTGCTATCAAGCAGCACCTGCTCAGCAATAACGTGCTCAGTGACGCCCAGTTTGGGTTCCGCCAGGACCACTCAGCTCCTGATCTCATTATAGCCTTGGTCCAAACATGGACAAACGAGCTGAATTCCAGAGATGGGATGAGAGTAACAGCCCTTGACATCAAGAAGTCTTGGCAACACTGCAATTAATGGGAATCAAGGTCAAATTCTCTGCTGGTTGAAGTCATACCTGACACATAGGAAGATGGTTGTGGTTGTTTTAGGTCAGTTATCTCAGCTTCAGGACATCTCTGCAGGAGTTTCTCTGGGTAGTGTCCGAGGACCAACCATCTTCAGCTGATTCATCAATGACCTTCCCTCCATCATAAGGTCAGACGTGGGGATGTTCGCCAATAATTGCACAATGTTCAGCACCATTTGTGATTCCTCACATACTGAAACAGTCCATTTTCAAAGGCAACAAGGTCTGGATGATATCCAGGCTTGGGCTGACAAGTGGCAAATAACATTTGCGGCATACAAATGCCAGGCTATGACCATCTTCAATAAGGGATAATTAAACCACCCTTGACATTCAATGGTGTTACAATCACTGAATCCCCCACTGTCAACATCCTGGAGCTCATCCAGAAACTCAACTGAACTAAACACAGCGATTACAGCAGCAGGTCAGAGGCTATAAGTACTGTGGCAATTAACTCACCACCTGACTCCCCAAAGCCTGACCACCATCTACAAGGCACAAATCAGGAGCAAGATGGAATACTCACCACTTCCACTATCCAGGACAAAGAAGCCCTCTTGATTGGCACCGCATCCATTCCCTCCACCACTGACCATCAGTAGCAGCAGAATGTACTAACTAGAAGATGCTCTGTAGAAATTCACCAAAGAATCTTAGACGCACCTTATAAATGCACAACCACTTCCATCTAGGCAGATAAATGGAAACACCACACCTGCAAGTTCCCCTCCAAGCCACCCACGATCCTGACTTGGAAGTATATTGCCATTACTTCACAGCCACTAGGTCAAAATCCTGGAATTCCCTCCCTAAGGGCATTATAGGTCACCTCCAGCATATGGACTGCAGTGGTTCACAAAGGCAGCTCACCACCACCACATGGGCTACTAGGGACAGGCAATAAATGCTGGCCAGTCAGCAATGCCCACACCTCAAGTGAATTGAAAGAAAAATATAGAGCCATTAATTCTAACCAATGAAAGAGGCCTTTATGCTTTGAGGGTATTAGCAACATCTGTTTTCTGGCACAACAGTATAATGAAACAAAGCATTGGATTTATGTTATAGTTAAAAGCATTATCACAATAATAAAAAAGAACTAATCATTGGTTTTGGTATTCATATGTAATGCTTTCTATTCTTTCCCAATATGAGCAGTGAAGAGTAATATACACTGCCATTTCAATTTTATTGAAATTGCTTCCTTTGTGAGAAAATGTCACAATGTTGAAGGTGCTCAGGATGTTGCAAATTGCATTCCAGATTAGAACTGAAATGCAGTGCTCATCAATATTTCATCGTATTATTCAAGTCAGAGCTAAGGGCCACTGTGGATGAAGAAGACTATAAATTTAACCTCAATTAACTGCGACACTAGTTTATAGTTTATTGGACTTTAAATATTTCCTTCATGCTTACAGTGATGATTGGTGTGGTAAAGAATGAAAGGTTTTCCACTTATTGTCTCCAGTGACAGTATCAAGCTTTCTCAGATCTGGAAAAGGCATAAATTAGATACAGCATGAAATCCTTTCAGCACTTCTTCGATAGGAAAATGTGCTCTCCTGTCAATAGTGTGAAATTCTTATCTTCCACACCAGCCATCCTCATATCTGTATGAATGCTAAATCAATATCAAACTGTGAACAGTCTTGTGTTTTTGATTTATGGCCTCTGCTCTCAGTGTTGTAATTGTGCAAAGTTGAAGATGCAAATTGTGTGCTTGGGAGATGTGGAAGCCAAATCACAATGCCACAGAATGATGCAACAAGATTTAAATTTATAATGAATGTTTAATTTTTAATTGCCAAGATTTAAAATATTATTGGTGTGCAAGCACATTACCTCACCACTGGCCTGGAGAGGAGGAAAATTGGGTGAAACAATAGATGGCAGTACACCTCCAAAATAAATGCAGTGTGACTCCAAAGGAAAGAATAACAAAATTCTCTATAATAGGGACAAGTTATGGTTGTAGTATTGGACTAGCAATCCTGATGACCATGTAAATAACCTGAAGAATTAGTTTAAACTACTGTGTTTAAAATCAATCAAAATAGGAAAAGCTGGAATTAGTAAAAATGAGCATGGATTGTCATAAAAACATTGTAGATCACTAATGTCCATTAGGAAAGGCAAACTTCTGTCTGATTGGTAAGGCTTATTTAACTCCAGTTTCACATAAACCTGGTTGACTCTTAACTATTCTCTGAAATAGCCAAACAAAAAAAAAACGCATAAAACTTCTGAGAAATTATAGTTTGCAGCAAAAACTGACTTGTGTTGCCGGCAATCCCCATTAGTTGAGACTGAATTAGGAAAAGGTTTAATTGCCACAGTCCTACATTCAGAGTTGTAACGCTTTGTGAATTATATGGGTACATACACTTAAACAGTGTTCAACAAAAGTTGTGAATCTTAATGCAGAACACATGCAACATTTTTACTTTTGATAATTTTCTTCTGGAATTATTTATTAATTATTTGTGCCAATTTGCAACTATATATACTAAAATATTAATCCTCATAATTTTTAATCCTTGTAATATGTTCTAATCTGCTTCTTGGATGGCATCAACAGCATCGTCAACAATCATGTCGTTATCAGCCATATCTTCCACAAATAAATATTCTCTTGCCACCAAATTGCATTGAATATCCTAGATTTCTTGAATGACTTGAGGACAATCTCTACTGATTTCAACCCACTCACACAGGTTTAATAACATCAGAGCTCACAGGCTGTCCCTATTGGTGATTGTTTACTTTTGTTCAGTCGTCCAGACATTCCACTTCTCTATTCATGCTACCCTGGAAGATCTTGTTTTGTGAAACATCGATCGTTAAACAATGCTGGTTAGACCACCAGTCTTCATTACAATACCGGTGTTTTACAATTTAACATCAGCAACCCAATTGACAAAGTGTGATCTGAACCAATCCCAGACGAGAAGACTTTTTAAATGAAATTCTCCTGATCAGAAGCTCCAAACTTTTAGCAGAAATATTTTCAAGGCAGATTCATCCATCCACATAATATTATGAGAATGGACATTGCTTCTCAGAAATTGCTGATATTTGGAGGCTTTTTCTGTTTATTACCAACATTGGCTGAAGCTTTTTGCAATTGGGCAAATATAAAAGAACTGTGTATCTATATTTTTCGTAGCTAGTTGGCTTCACCACTGCTATTTTCACTGACTGTTTGACTGGCTATTCAATGTAGTCCCATCTATGTTCCTAATATATACCAAACTTTATCCAACCTTTTGTTGATGCTTGACTGTATGCCACTAAAATGCAATAAGCCTTCTGCTGGGAGGCACTGCAAAACGTTGGTCTTTTGTCACAATGCAATATCATTTCTCTTCATAAATTTGTACTATCTAAAATGCTTTTTCTTGCTTATTTCATTGAGAAGATTCAGATAGCTCTGTGAAAAACTGAGCCTGTTCTGGTGTTTTCATTAACTCATTTTTCTAGTTCAATTTCCAAGTGTAGCCACATGCAGTGGCTTTCTTCTATTGGGCATTGATACTTTTTGTCTAAATTTGATAATCCATTCTCTACCAGCCCATTTCATCACTATGGGTCCACCTGATTCCTTCCTGCTTCCTTTAGTTCCTCCTCCTGTTCCCCTTTCTCCTACATCACTTCCTCCTCCTACTCCTGGATTGGTATTCACATCTATGAAAGTAATGGATCACAAACATTGAGAAGCTTACCTAAACAGTCAAGGCGCTAGAAGCACTGTGCATGAAGACTGATTGCCTACTGTCAATGTTTAAAGTGGCTCCATGACTGTCACTATAGGTACACTTTGCTCACATGGTGGAATAATCATGGCTAGTCTCTTATAGAGTGGATAGCCCATGCCTTTGAGCAATAAACCTGTGTCCCTTCAAATATGTGGGTAGAGCCAACCAGCACAGGATGAATATGTTGTGGCTACTGGCAAGATAATGGGCATTCATCAAAATCGTAGTCTTGGCAGAATCACATGCAAACAGAATATTTTTGGAATAGAATCCATTCTCCTGTATTTGACATGAGGATCCCATAAATCTCACGTGCAGACAGTGGTGTTCTAAACCAGGAGGATAACAAGGTGTGGAGCTGGATGAACACAGCAGGCCAATAAGCATTAGAGGAGCAGGAAAGCTGACGTTTTGGGTCTGGATTCTTCTTCAGAAATGGGGGAGGGGAAGGGGCTTCTGAAATAAATAGAGGGGGAGGTGATGATAGAAGGTGGATAGTGGAGCAGATAGGTGGAGAGAAGACTGACAGGTCAGGGAAGCAGTGATGAAGCTAGTAAAGGTGAGTTTAGGTAGGGAGTTGGGATGGGGGTTGGTCAGTGAGGAGGGAGGGACAGATAGGTGGGAGGGAAGATGGACAGGTCAAGGAGGCGGGGATGCAGCCAGTAGAGGTGAGTGTAGGTAGGAAGTTGGGATGGGGGTTGGTCAGTGAGGTGGTAGGAGCAGATAGGTGCGAGAGAAGACGGACAGATCAAGGAGGGGGGCTGGTCTTGGGATGAGGTCGGGGGTGGGGAGATTTTGAAGCTCGTAAAGTCCACATTGAGACCATTGGGTTGTAGGCTTCCAAGGTGGCATATGAGGTGCTGTTCCTCCAGTTTTTGGGTGGCATCATTGTGACACTGGAGGAGCCCCAGGATGGACATGTCGTCCAGGGAATGGGAGGGGGAGTTGAAGTGGTTCGCGACTGGGAGGTGTTGTCGTTTGTCACGAACTGAGCGTAGGTGTTCTACAAAGCGGCCTCCGAGTCTCTGCTTGGTCTCACCGATGTAGAGGAGGCCACATCGGGAACAGGGGATACAATAGACCACATTAACGGATGTGCAGGTGAACATCTGTTTGATGTGGAAGGTTTTTTTGTGGCCTGGGATAGAGGTAAGAGGGGAGGTGTAGAGGCAGGTGTAGCACCTCCTGCGGTTGCAGGGAATGGTGCCAAGGGTGGTGGGGCCAGTGGGGAGTGTGGAGCGGACGAGGGAGTCGCGGAGACAGCAGTCCCTCCGGAAGGCAGATAAGGGTGGGGAGGGAAATATATTCTTTGTAGTGGGGTCAGACTGCAGGTGGCGGAAGTGGCGGAGAATGATGCATTGAATCCGGAGGTTAATGGGGTGAATCGTGAGGAAGAGGGGAATTCTGTCTTTGTTTTTATTGCAGGGAGGGGGTGTGAGGGCTGAGGTGCGGGAAACGCAAGAGATGCGGTCGAGGGTGTTTTCGACCACTGGGGTGGTGGTCGGTGGGGGGATGGGAATTGCGGTCCTTGAAAAACGAGGACATCTGGGATGTCCGGGAATGGAACGCCTCATCTTGGGAGCAGATGCGGCGGAGGCGGAAGAATTGGGAATAGGGGATCACATTTTTGCAGGAAGGTGGGTGAGAGGAGGTGTGGTCTAGGTAGCTGTGGGAGTTGGATGTCGATAGCACCCACTTTGGGTAACATTAAAAATAATCCTTAAATGGCAGAAACAATGAGTATTTTCTGTCAGTGACAAAGATAAATAAATGTTGCCTTAGGGGCACAATTTTGGTCTACTTCTAATCCAGTTATTTAACCTTTGGCTATTTAACTTGTGTCACGATGTCATGTGTCATGAAATATTTCTTGATTTTCTTAAAGCTAATGCACAGAGGATACATTGGAGAGGAGTAGTAGTAGTTATGACAATTGATCTGCCTTCACTATAAATATTTCTTTCCCAAAATGATACGATCCTGTACTGTTCCAAATTGTTTTGCTGATACACACAATCCCAGAAAATGTCACGTTTAATATCTGTACTCTAGAACACTGTAACAACTTCATGACTAACTGTAGAAATGTGCAACTGTGATTTCCTACAGTGAAACACATTTAGAAATGTCAATATTTTAAATGTAGAAATATTACTTTGTTTCTCTCTACTCATTTTAAAAATTGCTTTCTTAGAAGTGAGGCAACATCTGACTTTGATATTGTCTGATACCAAACCAATTCCTAAGTTATTTTTCATTTAGAAAATACAGCACAATATCCATTTGTTCCAGCGCCATAAATTTTGTAAACAAATCTTGTTCTCTCCTTCCGTTATTCTTCTTTCCCAGAAGACCATAAGAGTGAAGATTGCCAGCTAGCAATGGATCAAGTGGCTGAACCAAGCATGGAGCTGAAAAAGGAGCAGGTTTGGGTAGCCATTATTATAGCTTTGGGTCTGAGCATATGTGCTGTATTCAAATTTCACCTGCCAATCAAAAGGAGTGCTGCCTGAAGCTGGGATACTGTGTGCAACAGGATCTGCACAGTTTAGTACTTCTTTCTCCTGCCTCCAAAGATTGTTTAATACTTGCATACGAACTGTGCAACAACTAATTTTGTTTTAAAGCAAAGGAATATTTTCATGTAGAACTCTTAAAATGCAAAATGTCCGCATCTTCCAGTTATCAAAACTTTGCATTTGAATTCTGTGCTTTCAAATACAGTCAGATCTTCATATAATGTAGCTGTCACTTACTTAAGACAAAGTCAGAGATATTTTAATCACGCTTCTAAAGCATGGTCAAAAACAGAAGTTGCTGGAAAAGCTCAGCAGGTCTGGCAGCATCTGTGAAGGAAAAAATCAGAGTTAACATTTTGGGTCTGGTGACCCTTCCTCAGAAGGGTCTGGCCCGAGGGTCACTGGACCCAAAATGTTAACTCTGTTTTTTTCCTTCAAAGATGCTGCCAGACCTGCTGAGCTTTTCCAGCAACTTCTGTTTTTGTTCCTGATTTACAGAATTCGCAGTTCTTTCAGTTTCTAGAGCATGGTGTTATTTTCCATGTTTCATTGGTGAGTATCTTGTAGATGTCAACAGAAATAAGTGATATTGAAATGTGACATGAGGTCTGGCATATTTAGGACTGAACTTTATGAGCTTTAGAAATGACCAGAATGAGAGGATCACAGCTTGCAAGGTATGGTACAAGTTGGTAAAGATTGTCCAGCATTCCACACAACATAATTTTTTTTTTCCAGTGATGATGTTATGGCAATCTCAGGATTGTGTATGTGCACCGACACAGCCCAGACTGCAATCTGTGTTGAATAATTTATGCTGCATTACGCTCACATCATTACTTTTTTCTTTCACTCTTAGCAATTGGTTGGTTTTATCGATACGATGGCAAATATCCCACTACCCGAAAGGTAGAGAGTATTAACTGTGTGACAAGCTGCTTTTGTTTGTTTGTTTGTTTGTTTGTTTGCTTGTTTCTGTGTGGATTCACTTTAATTTTTATCTAAGTTCTGATTTTTTTTTTCTGACAGTGCTGTTTCACTTTCAAATAGTTCATGAAAGTACATGTCATCACTTTTTTGTGACATAATGACTATCCAGAGAAGTTAGCTTGTGAATTTACATGGTACATGGTAATCAAAATATTTGAATGACGTATCTCACTTACAAATAAACAAAACTCAAACTAATAACCTGTCCACAATCCTGATTAGCTGAATATATCCCGAACTCGAGGACTCAGTACTTCAAATTGTACATGAAACACAACCTACCATCGTTGAAGGCACCAATTCAGAATCTGGAAGTCTCCATTGGGTGTTCACAGCTCCACAGAGGCTCAGCCAAATACTATTCTTCATTTAGTGGGCTTAGACTGTGAATGTAAATATATTCAACTGCAACAGGCATCACAACATGCAATGTCCTGCCAACAAGATACACCTAAGCATATTTTACGTAGGTAGTAAAAGATCGTGATCAGAAGTGAATTTGTTGCAGAAGTAGCACACCTTAGTGTCCCAATATCCTCCTCAATCAATGTCAGCTGACTCAGCACATAAAAGAGAATTAAATTAATACTTCCCTGTTCTGCATCTGCGTGCGGATTTTCATATTGCTCTCTTAATTTTAGGAATTTCTACAAAAAAATGAAGGGCCATTTTTAATTCCTAGCATGAAGGCAGAAATGATTGAAAATCCTGTGTGGGAGTTGTCATTGAAAATCGTGACAATTTTAAGCACTGAACTGCGCTTGAATGACAGCAGGCAGTTGCTTCCCTTTCCTGTGTGAAAAGCAGCGGCAACAGGCTGGTGGATTGCGGGGAGACTTGGAGGTAGCAAGCAGAAAGCTACTGGCAGTTAGATGTGAGAGGAGAGTTTGTTATAAGACTGAAATTTTATATTGCTTTAGAATACAGCACCATCCATACTGTCCCAACAGCTATAGCTGTCAAAGCCAAAAATTCTCACCAAAGAAAGTTTTAAAAAATACATTAGTGTGGCAAAGCAAACTAGTTGTGCTCCTCGAGGTCTCACGCAAGAAAAAAAATTCTGCTGCTCAGGGCACCTCGACACAATAGCCTTATAACAAACTCTCCTCTCACATCTAACTGTCAGTAGCTTTCTGTTTGCTACCTCCAAGTCTCCCCCCAATCCACCAGCCTGTTGCTGGTGAATTATGCAATTACTTATTATGCATAACCAATAAAAAAAGTTGTCTTGGTGACCTCTGCTGAGAGTTTTAAAAAATACATAGATTGAAAACCATAGCCACAGCATGTAACTAAATAGCAGATTAATAATTGGTATACACCAAATTCCTGATATTTGTTTATGATTCAGTTGATTGTAAGAAATGTTATAAAATTAAGCCCTCAGCAGTCATGTGTAAAATAAGCCACAAATGTTAAACTGACATTGACCAAACTGTGATTTTATTTCTTCTTTCATGGGATGTAGGTGTCACTAGCCATTTGCAATGTTTGTTGTCCATCCCTAATTGCCCTTGAACTGAGTGGTTTGCTGCTTATTTCAGAGGGCAGTTAAAAGTGAACACCATTTTTCTAAGTCCACATATACGCCTACAGATTTCTTTCCCTAAAGAACATTCACAAACCAAATGCATTTTTAACAACAATCAATCGTCATCGTCTCCATTACTGAGACTAGTTTTATATTCCAGATTTATCAATTGAATTTAAATTTCACCAGCTGCCATGGTAGACTTTGAAACTGTGTACTCGGAGCATTATTCTGAGTCTCTGGAATACAGGTCAAGTGACATTACCACTACACCACCATTTATCCTACATGTACAGCATTAAGGTAGGAAATTTCAGTATTAGTTCAGCATGATATTTTTGAAATATATAATACGTTTTATAAATTGGAAAAAAATAAAATGAAGCAAAGCATTGGCAGATGGATGAGTGGCAAAATGGCAATGAAAGACTTCCCAATAGAACAAATAAAAAATACAAATGGTTAGTGGCACTGGAATAATTTTGAGTCTATGACCTTTTCAGTTGATTTTCCTTTTTTAATTGACCCTTGTTCCACTCCTTACATAAACCACCAGTCATTCACCAAACTGAGGAGGATTAAAATACTGCGTGGTGAGATAGATCTCACCCATATTATGTCTCCAGTGGTGTACCATGTAAAGAATGAGATAGTTACAAGCTGATCTCACCCGTATTATGTCTCCAGTGACGTACCATGTAAAGAATGAGATAGCTACAAGCTGAACACTAACATTGAAGAGCATGACTGTTCTTCACCCCTTATAGCCTTAACCTTGTCTCAACTGACATGAGAGGAAGGAATCACAAAAGGATGGCAAGGAAATTAAATATAGAATTCCTTAACAATTGTTTATTTACAATATATCTATGTTGTACTTGCATGTTTTGAATTTTGGATGTGTTGAGGAATGAGGATTTTATAATCTCAATTTCTGCATATTATATTTCTATTGCTGTGGCTGTAGTGGGTCTAATTTTTGAGTAGTTTCCAGTGATTGTAATTCAGAGCTTCTTCATGAACACATCTCCATATTAAAACTTGTAAGAAAGGGAAGGAGAGGAAGCGGTCCAAAGCTGAAATATTATTTGAACAGAGGAAGAATAAAAAGGAACTGGAATTTGAACAGAAACTCGCAAAAGAGAAAGAGGAGATGCTGGAGAAAGAAAAACAATTGAAAATAAATCGACTGGTCCAAGAGGTATATTGGCACTGCAAGTGATCAGATCAATTACTTCTAAGTAATATTTTGTGTGATTTCACAATTTAAATCATCCTCTGATATGTGGAATTAATGAAGACTTTTCTTAACTATATTTTCAAAAATGTTTTTTAGAGCAATTCCATGAATAGTATAGAAATCAATCTAATTCCCTAACATTACCAAATATAAAACAAAAACAGAATTTACTGGAGAAACTCAGCAGGCCCAACAGCATCGATGGAGCGAAAGCAGAGTTAAGATTGCAATTCTGAAAGTTAACATTTCAATTCCAGGTCTAGACTCAACATTAACCCTGCTTTCTCTCCATCAATACTGTCAGACCTGCTGAGTTTCTCCAGCAATTTTGTTTTTGTTTTAGTACAGATATAATGTGTAATCCAGTGGATTTTCATATAGTTCTGTACTTTGACAGATTGACAATAAGTATGATATTTGACAACATTAGCGATGAAATGAGAGGAATTTGCTTGGGGAGAGGGAAGGTTGAAGATTGCACTGCAATTGTTTGGAGGTGATTATTAAGTAATGTGTAATTTGGTGTTATTAGAAGGTGTGTTAAGGAATGCACACTTTTCATATTGTTGAAGAGCGCACAAGATGTTTGGAGGATTCTTTGTGGAGTTTACTTTCATTGTTGGTGAAAGAATATTCCTCTTTCTGCGAAAGAGTTTAGCAACCAGATGTTTGGAAATGAGTTATATTTAATCTACCTGAGTGCTTTCAATACAGTAGTCCAAAAGTAACATTAAACTTTCCCAAATCTGAAAGGTTAGATAATATTAGTAATTTCTCTGGCTTCTTTGAAGATTACCGAATTAGAATTCATTTATATGATATTTATTCCCTTTAATTTAAATGAGAGAGAAAATCAACTCCATCCATCCAGCTTGTTTAATTTATCTTCTATGCCTCCATATAATGCCTTGTGAAAAAGTAACTATATGAATTTTAGGGTTCCTCTGCATTTACTTTTAGCCCCTATTCTTATGTACCTCAAATTCATAGTACTTAAATCTTATTTGATGCTCTTCAATGAAGCCAATTTTTAAAACCATTGTTCTTAGCCACTGGCACCAGGTTTCCAAATCAAGAACAAGCAGTCCATATTGACAATATATTTTTAAAAGCTGGTACATGTCATTTTATTTTTACAAGATATGCAGCATAGTTATATCTCTTTTACTGTCAAGCCTCTTCTATTAAATTATAAAGTGAAATGTACCTTTTCTTCTTTACACCCATAAGTTGATAAAATGTATTCTCATGGAAATATTATTTGACACGAACCTTAAATGGCATCAATAATAGGGAGGATTCCTGAAGTTTGAAAACAATTGATGGATCAGACAGAGCAAGAAGAACTTATTTCAAATCCTTATGTCTGTGCTGCTGTTGTTATTTGCTAATCTCAGCCATGCAGCAATATAGACAAAACAGTTAACCTGTGTGACTCTATACTAGGTGGAGCAATCGACAAAGGTTCCTGTTACTAATAACTGTGCCTATAACCCCTGTTGAAAGTGAGAACTGGTGGCTGCAAAAGATTTCAAAAATAATTTAGATAGGCACTTCAAGTATTATTTGCAGGGTTACAGGGCATGGTGATAAATGGGACTTAGGACTTTGTTGTAATGAGTCTGTGTCACTCACTGTTGAGGTTTGTGTATACAATGCCACTTTGATGAAACACTAGAAGGTTCTAGCATTCATTGAAACTACCCTCACAGAACTTTTAGGAGGGCAGAGGAGAAAATTAATGGAGTGAAGATTACTTAGCATTAAAAGAAGTAGAAGACATTGGATGTTGTGACATCACAAAGCCAAATTGAAAAGTAGACCACTGACGAGCTGACAGAGGGGAAACCAATGTCTTTTTAAAATGTAGAACACATTCATGACAAAAAGTTTCATTTTCAATAGACAATTGAAGAAAATAACAAAAACATAAGTTGCTGGAAAACCTCAGCAGGTCTGGCAGCATCTGTGAAGAAAAATCAGAGTTAACATTTCAGGTCTGGTGATCCTTCCTGAGAACAGCATCCACAGTTTTTTCAGTTTTTAATTGAAGAATTTGTCTGCTTAGACTTGCCTTTCTCTTTACAGTAGGATTTACCAGGCTAGATTCTCACTTTATAGCTCTTTATCAATCTGTTTAAATGAGCGAAGTAATTGGTGCATTGCTTCAGGTATCTGAAACAGAACGTGAAGATCTGGAAGAGTCGGTAAAGGTTCAGCATTGGGTGGAGAGGCTGTGCCAGACTCGATTAGAGCAAATCTCATCAGCAGAGAATGAATCCCTTGAGGTAACATTTATTCAGCAGTGCTGTGCTTGTACATACATCTGCATACTGCATGATATATTGTTATCGCTTCATGCAAAATGGAAAATGATTTTTTTATAGGATGGAACATCTATGTCCAACTAATCAATTTGGCAACCTTGTAGTAACGACTGGCTGACAAAACTCTTTCAAATATAAAAATGACAAATAAACCTTGAACAACCAATATTGATCACTTTGACAAAAAGTAATCACATACCTCATATTTGATATCGGAGTATAGGAGTGATATTGGTCTTTGGTCTGGCACAAAATAGGCAATTTAGAGTTGAAGTCCAATTTCATTCCTTTTTTTTAATATATCACTTTAGAATGCATTTCCCCTAGCTATCTAGCCGTCTGGGTGCAGTTCAGTATCTCATTTTCATAGTATTCCATCAGTTTTATCTTTGTAACCAGTGTGAATTTAGTGAAGCTGTAAATATGTTTCTCTGAAACTTGTTTTAAAACTTTACTTTTATTTTGATTTATTTGGGATGAGAGAACCACTTGGATTTTACCTTCTATGCAACTGAATTTCTATCATGCAGCAGGAATTGAGAGTTCTTTTGACTGTGAAAACTTCTAGTACATGCAGGAGAACTATTCTATGATTCCTCTTCACCAAAATTGTTAATGCTTGCCATCAGTAGCAAAAGCTGAACTCAAGGTTAAAAAAAAGTGTCTTTGAATCCTCAGCCAGATTATATGTTCAGAATCAATCACCACTTTAAAGATTTCACTTTACATTTTTAATCATATATTGTACAAAACTCATTCAGAAATACAACAGTTAGTGGGTCCGGCATCTTGTGGGTCTTGTCTTTTGAAGTAACTGAATTAAGATATTCTCTGAAATAGCCGATTGTCTGAAACAGTGAGCATTCTCTCAGTGATGTTACGGACTTGCCAACATTACAGTAGTTATTCTTTTTCTCAGAAGAGCTGTATAATTAAGTTTTTATGAATTAATGTTGATATTTTTGCTTCTGAAAAAAACATAGAGACATTAAGATTTGACTTCACCATCCTTTTATGTTCCTATGTTTTATGCATCATGTCAAATACATTTCAGCTCATTCATGTTTCTTTGTTTAATGATCCCAAGTATCCGTTTTGGTCTCAGTTTAGATGATGAGTGAATTCATCGGACCATTTGAAATTCAAAACTTGTTTCAATGCCCATTCCTGCTTGCTACTATATCAGCAAGACTCATAGGTTTTACTGGAGATTTTCTTCTAAATCACTGTCTGAAAGATCATCTTCAAAGGACTGTTTCTTCGAGTGTTAGTGATGGATGTTGTTTGGAGTACAGATTTTATGTTATGTTTGTCAATTGTTTAAAGACCCCTATTATCCACTAACAGGGGTCAACTGCACCACCACCTCCTTCAACCTCTGTTCGGAAGTTTGTCAGTGGCCTCCAACTGCATACCACAGATCTTGATGACATCAACTTAGATCAATTTGAACAGCCAGCAAAGCGAATGGCACCTCCTCCACCAGCATCTCATCTTGTTCCACTACCACAGCCATCCAAGATTCCATCATCGACTGGCACACCATCACGGAAAAAGCCTGCTCCACCTCCACCATCTCCACATCATTCAAACCCGTCTCACATCGGTTCCAGAGTATCACCTGTGTCCCCAGTTCAACTTCTTCCACAACCTACCCCACCCCCTCCACCACGACCTCCCCCTCCAATGCCCGTCCATCCTATTGCTTTGGCCCGTTCTCATGGTACCATCCCAGAAGCAAGAGAAAGCAACTTAAGCTATTACTCCCATGCTGGCACGGAGTCAGCTAATGATTGGGAAGTAAACAACCATAGTTCAAAAGTTGGTTACAGTCCTGTGCATATCCTGACTGGTGAACATTCATATCCACGTAGTTATAAGGTATTAACTGTGTGTTGTGAAATCTGTTATGATTGCTGTGCCATCCTCCTTTGGACTGCGCATTTTCTAACTTTCGTTCTAAAAGTAACCACAGTAATTTGCACTATACTAGACAGCCCTTTCAGAACAAAATTACACAGCTACTGCAATAACTGCTTAGCAAACCAAGCACAGTTCAAGTCTCAACTGTATATTTGCGTGTGTAATCAGATTTGCATTCCAGTCTAATGCTGAGACAGTGGAGCATTGTTGGAGCTGCTATTCTTTAGATGAGATGTTAGACTCCATAACAGAGCACTTTAAAAGTATTTCATTGGAAAGGGAACACCTTCAATTATTTCTGAGATAATGTTCATTGTTATAAAAATGCAAGATTTTTTTGAAAAGTTGAGAAATGTACAATCCAGCACACAGAAGACTGTGGGCACAAATCTATAGTGCAGCATTCTCTGTGTTTTTGTCCCATGTGAATGATTTTTAGTTAGTATACCTGATCATAAAAATCTTGAACTGTAGGGTAGGCTGAACTCGAACCAATTTAGTCAGTGCTTATATTATGATTATAATTGCTTCTTCCCAACAGTAGAGAGAATCCATTATAAAAGATGCAATGTCATTCAGGGAGTTTGTTTTGATAGATATAATTATTTGTTTCTAGATATCAATTAAAAGGTGAGACTAGAAAAAAGTGAAAGAGCAATTTTTAAAATCTATAAATTAATAATCATTAATGATTACAAATGGTTAACAATGTTTTATCTTTTGGCACGTCAGTTTTGCTTGATGCAAGTCAAATGTACTCATTATGCTCCCAACTTTGAATGTTGCATGTGTTTGGAGTGACTAATTGCTATTAATATGATGAATATTGTAAATGATGATTGTAAAATGTGTTGACTTATCTCAGGTTATGAGAAACACATCTCATGCAAGCAGAGTCTCTTCCACGTCTAATATTCCATTGGTACGTGACAAAACTATTGTATGTAGCTTTGTGGATGTTATAGGGCACTCTTGCTACTTGTGATAGAGCAATGGTAGTATATTGAACACTATTATAAGCCAACTTATCCCAAAAGATTTAGACTTTTAAGATTGAGGTTTTTGTGGAGAAAGAAAAGGAAATGTGTTGGAAATGTCAAATGAGTAATTAACTGCCTCACGACCAATGAAAATTCTCGTGATTTTGAGTCTTGTTTGTAGAAATCATGTGCCATAGCATAAGTAAAGTTGATGGTGCGTTGGAGCTTTGTTATTGTCAGATTGACCCTTGAATGAGGATTATGACTACAACCATTCTTAACAGTAGCAGACTTAAAAGTACAACTGTAGAACTGATGTGGAATGGTTTCATTTCACACATATGTGTATGGATCTGAATTGAAAGTGAGAGCCCAAGTTGACATGGGAACAAAACAGAGTGAGACTCTGGAAGAGGTTAACTAACTCCATCTTTGGAATCAATTGAGGTCTTCACAAATTATTTACTCAGTCAGGAGTCACACAACACCACATTATAATCTTGTGATTTCAAATAACTTGTTGGAGTATAACCTGGTGTTGTTTGATTTCTGATTTTGTCTACCCCAGTCCGACACTGGCACATTGACATCAAATTATTTATTCTCCAAGTTCAATGTCATTGTATAGCTATTTGGCTTTTCATCAACGTTAAACTTGTGGAAAGTAAATGTGTCACAACTGTGAAATAGGATTAACTTTTAGTGTTTGGTGATGTGTTTTTGGGCCTGTTAGTCCACTTTTATCATGTCCTGTTGAAATGAGATGAAAATAAAATTTTATATATGGCATGTATAATATTAAAAAACCTAAGCTTTAGAAGTTATAAGCTCATTAATTCATAATGGAGATTTGCTTGAAAATGACTTAGATCTATAATAATTCAGATACTGTTGCACTGATATTTCATTTTGATTCAATCTTATCTTAATATTGGTCTTTAAGGTACAATGCAATATAGTTTCGTATATTTCCAATCACTGACAGAGTAATTGCTTTTTAATAATTGATTAGGTAGAATGTGTTTGTCTATTGTAAGAAGTTATTCAGAAGGGCTTTGTTGTGACCGTTAGGTAGAACAAAATTCAGCAGTGGTCAGATAGGTAATGTTTATGAATGGGACTGCATCCACTATGTATCTCATTTATTGAAGTAAATTTCAATAGAGATATTACCAACTATTTGATTTTCATCTTAATTGTCCTTTCCCTTTACATCTACCGTGGATGTCTTTCATCTTTTACTGCACATGACTTCAGCAACTAGCCCCAAGTCCACCTATCCAAAAGCGACCAACGGGGCCGATGGCTTCCAAACCAGTCATGTTGCCCCCTACCTCTACCCATATGAACAAGACAAGGGTTAAAATGGATTTGGTAAGTTCTTGTTCAAAAAATATTTATTGGTATAAAAAATGTAACTCTCCTTCCTCTTAATTTGTTTCATTTTAGAGTGGAATCAATGATTAGCATTATTTTTGTACAACAGTTAAAGCCAGTTAAAGCCAACAGTTAAAGCCAGTCAAAAGAAATTATCCTGTAATTGAGTTTCCAAGTGTGTAATGTTTTATGCCTACTGCATTATGCCTGTAATGTACAGATGGGCACGAAACAGTCAAGAGGTTAGCTAATTGAAAGTAATCCATACCTGGGAGTCAGAATCTGGAGAAATGATCAAATTCAGGCAAGAGTCAGAGGATGAAAAAGAAGACCAATATAAGTACATCAGAGATAGTAGGAACTGCAGATGCTGGAGAATCTGAGATAACAAGGTGTAGAGCTGGATGAACACAGCAGGCCAAGCAGCATCAGAGGAGCAGGAAGGCTGATGTTTCGGGCTTAGACCCGATTCTCCAGCATCTGCAGTTCCTACTATCTCTGAAACCATGGATTTCTCCTTGTTATATAATGCTTATTTTCTTTTAGTCCATGCAATTTAATTGCAGGAACACTTTTGCCTTGATCATTAATACCGTTTGCGTTCTTTAAACCTTTCAGTGGTATCATGGAGAAAAATCTCTTTAGACATTAAATAGAAAGCAAATAATGTTGGATACTGGAAATCAGGAACAAAACCAGGGAATGTCTAGTTGGACAAGCTCAGCAATCTGGCAGAACTGAACAGTTCTGAAGAAATGTCACAGGACCCAAAATGTTGACACTGTTTTCTCTCCACAGATGCTGCAGACCTGCTCAGTTTCGCCATCAATTTCTGTTTTTGCTCCTTTGATATTAGCCTGTCTTCAATGTGCAAACAACAAATCATACCTTCTTTGATATGAGAATGGAAAACATTTAGGATTCTTAACCATCTGCTGCAGATGGTCCTTTCTGTGATGTGCATGAATTTCAAATCAGATTTTACAACTGAGTTCACGCAATTTAAAAGTAAGATCAAAATGCTTCACAAGGCATGCAATATTTTTCTACTTAATAAATGTTAAAGGATTACATCGCTTACAGAGCTTCAGATAAGCTGTTCTTGTAGAACAGAAATTAATTGATGAATGGAACTTTTTTAAAAAACTAAGATAAGTATGAAAAAGTCACCAGAAGTGAAATGTTTGCAAACATCAAATGTGCATCATTATTGAAGCCTTTTCTTTCACCAATGTTCAGCATTTCTATAATGTTCTTAGAGATTAATTACAGGGCCATGTTAATATGTTATCATTATTGAACAAATTAATCTAAAAAGCAGAGACAAC